TAAATGTATTTTTAAAAAATCAAGAATCCTGGGACATCTCTGGTGGTCCAGCAGTTAAGACTCCACGCTTCCACTACAGGGGACAAGAGTTTGATCCCTGATCGGTGAACTAAGATCCCATATGCTGTGTGGCTCAGAAAAAAAAAAAAAATCAAGAATTCTAACATCACTCTGAGCTAGTGGGAAAAAAAAAAGTCAGTGAAGAAAAGTGGATTGACCTAAAGTAATAAGAGCTAAAGAAAGAAAAAGCAGATGTGAGAAAGACTTAAAACCAACAAAAAATAACAACAACAAAAAAGCGTGTGATCTAAGAAGATGGCCACTTTAGGGTTAAAAGACATGTATGCATGAAACAAGAGAACAGCAAACTCACAGCCAGAGGAAATCAATGAGGGATAAAATAACAGCTATCAATGTCGTGGCATTATTTTATTTCCTGTTCAGATCAACTCTGTAGGTATTAGTAACTGTCCTTTTAAGCAGAAAAAAAAAAAAAAAAAACCTGTCTCAGAAAGAAAAAAGAGACTTGCCCAAGGCACACACATAGTATGTGATGGAGCAGGAATCAAGTCCACAGCTTCCCTCAAAGTCCATTTTTCACCTTCTTTCATAGTAGTGTTTTTAAAAATTGCCAAAAAGAAGAATGTTTGCTTGGAGAAATTGCGAAGAATGAAACTCAGACTCAGCAAAAATCTTAACTATCTCCAAAGTGTTTGCACAAACGCTAAAATATTATCCGACTTAAAGAGCACTGGTCTCCTTTGTCCAAGGATGATGTTAAGTTAACCAGATGCTCACAGAGAGATGTGACTGTCCCTTCACACAGCTGTGAAGTCAGTAGCGTCATAGCAGAGTCGGACCGGAGCTTTGTCAAGGTGCTTCATTATCCAAGACAACAACGAGAGAGGTGTCTTTCCTAGCACCTGTCAGGGTTGAACAAATCTGGCCCTTCAGAATTGGTGGAATTGCAGCCAAGCATATAAGAAAGATTTTAGAGTCTCATAAGCCTTGGTTTGAAACCCCCCCCCTCTTGTTTAGCCACATGGCCCAGCTTGTGGGATTTTAGTTCCCCAGCCAGGGATCAAACCTGGGCCCTGGCAGTAAGAGCGCTGAGTCCTAACCCCGGGACCAACAGGCAGCTCCTAAAGCCCCTTTTCTTATTTTCTAGCTATGCTAAGCAGATAAGGACTCTTCTCTGAGCCACAGTGCCCCCAGCTATCAATTGGAAATAGCAATACCCTTTAGGTTACTGTGAGGATTAGAAATAACACATTTGAAATGAGTAAGTTCACTGCCTTTTGCATGGTATTTGTTCAAAAATGTGTATCACTCTTGTTATCAATTCTCTTACAGTTTTCATCTCATTAATTGCCCTGGAAACTTAAATCAGGCTTATTCTGCTGTCTGCTAGTTACTTTTCTTCTCTGGGGGGAAAAAATGTCCTCTGAGATCCAAAAAGATTTGGGCCTGGAATTGTCATGCTTTCTGATGCCTGGCTACTTCAAACTTAATCATCAGTTATGTCATAATCTGTATTCCCTGCCCAGAAAGACAAAAATTCTCAACCAACTGCCCTTCCTCAAACCCTCCAAAATGTAGGCGTTCCCAACTTGAATGCTCTAAATTTGGCTTACGTGCGCCATTTTAATAGTAACAACTTTCTTGCACATTTATTATGTGTTAGGTACTGTATTAGGCACTGGCAGTCATTATTTCTAATCCTGGAAGTAATTCTTCAGCATAAATACTAGTAGTCCAGTTGTATGTAGGAGGGAAGGAGGCTGGGACAATCTAAGGGGTTTGGCCAAACATTTGCTCCACATGGCAGCTGAGAGCCTGAAAAAAAAGACCTTGAAGTCTCAGCTCCATGCTTCCTTCATACTAGTCAACTCTGGAGATCTTGTTCCCCTAACCAATTAAACGGGCTTCCCAGATGGTGCTAGTGGTAGAGAACCCGCCTGCCAATGCAGGAGACGCAAGAGACGCAGTTTCCAGCCCTGGGTGGGGAAGGTCCCCTGGAGAAGGAAATGGCACCCCACTCCAGTCTTCTTGCCTGGAGAATCCCATGACAGAGGAGCCTGGCAGGCTACAGTCTATGGGGTCACAAAGAGTTGGACACGACTGAAGCGACTCAGCAGCCCACTGGCAACCAACGTAACGGGGAGCCTGCGGGAGGCGGGCGTGGCCACGGGCACCGCGGTCACTTCCGGTTGTTCTCTGCCTGTTTCCAGGAGTCGCTGACTACATACCCTTCAACCACGAGCACATCACAGCCAACTTCACACAGTACTAAGAGAAGGGGGATTGAGCTTCTATCAAATGTCCCCAAAGGATGGCTGGGATTGTTTTTCACATCATTTGAAATCTATGCCAAAAAAAAAAAAAAAAGTGGGTATTTACGATGCCACCGTATTACTGGTTAAAATATGGAAACCACAATGTAAAATAAATGATGCAAATCGCTGGAGTCTCAATGTCTGTGATCCATGAAAGAAGTCTGGTTTTTCACGACCATGATGGCCAGATATCATTTAAATGTAGGGTGAGGGAAAAGGGGCCCCTGGCTGATATATTGGAAGGTCATTCTGATCTCTTTTTGATTGATTAACCAACACAGTCTTTTATTCTATAAAGGAAATCTTTGAAAAAAAACTTTTTATATCTTATACCAAGTACTCCTTTTCAAATTACCTATTGTAAACATAGACACACACACACATGCATCCATACATGTGACAAAAATTATTCCATACGAAACTCCCAGAAGGTTCAGAACTAGATCAATGATGTTATATCACAACTCTCCCCTTCCATTTCCAATATTTGTTCTGGGTAAATCACATTTCAAATATATTTGGTATAATTTATATTTATGCATAATTATATTTAATATTAATATAAATTCAGCATATAAAATGTTTTATATATTAAATGTATACATATATCTGTAGCTGTGCTCCATAAATAACACATATAATATTTTGGATGTAAAATATAGGTATGTATCAATAACCTCACCCTATCCTACATATGTATATATATGTATACACACACACACACACACACACACACACACACACGAAAGGTGAAAGTGAAAGTTGCTCAGTCGTGTCCAACTCTTTGCGACCCCATGGGCTATACAGTCCATGGAATTCTCCAAGCCAGGACACTGGAGTAGTTACAGATCTTTGGGAGAAAAATTTAAGACAATCAAACTCTAAACTCTGCTTGTTGGAGTCAATATTGGTACAAACTTTCTAGAGAAGAATATGAATATGTGTATCAGAAGACCTAAGATATACTCAACTTTAACCCCCAAAAGTCCCAATTCTGAAATTTATAGGAAGGGGGAAAGCATAAGAGGACACAGATATGTAAGAATCAAAACATCAGCTGGTTGTGACTCAGGAACTCAAACCCAGTTCTGTAACAACCTAGGGGGTGGAATGCAGAGAGAGTTGGGAGGGACGTTCAAGAGGAAGGGGACAGGTGTGTATACCTGTGGCTGATTCATGTTGATGTTCGGCAGAAACCAACACAATTCTGGAAAGCAATTATCCTTCAATTTAAAAATAAATTTTTAAAAAGTCAGCCGGGACAGTTAGAGAATAAGCCTTAGATGTGCAGCCTCAATAGACTTCCTAGAACTGAACCCAGACGTGGACAGGCTTAACTGCCGCATCACAGGCCACCCCTCCTGGCATCTGAGAGCAAGAACCTGCCCTCTGGTAACAGTCTGGCCCCCAGGAGAGAAGCATGGCCCACAGGCCCAGGTCCCCACCCCGTCAGAGCTGTAAGGTAAGTCACGGGATCCTGGACAAAAGCCGGGGCCCTCACCGTCATGGAAGGAGGCCTCAGGGAGTGGCGGAGACATGCGCTTCCCAGGTTGCACTGGTGTAAAGAGCCCGCCTGCCAACGCCTGAGACATAAGAGATGTGGGTTGTCTCTGGGTCGAGCAGATCTAGAGAAGGGAATGTCCACCCACTTCAGTATCCTTGCCCGGAGAGCCCCATGACAGAAGAGCCTGGTGGGCTACAGTCCATGGGGTCGCAAAGAGTCAGACACAACTGACACAACCTAACATGCATGCACATTTCTTCTACACTTAATTTATTGTGCTTTTTTACGAGTTTGTTCCTAGGTCGGGAAGATCCCCTGGAGTAGGAAACGGCAACCCACTCCAGTGTTCTTGCTTAAAAAACTCCATGGACAGAGAAGCCTGGCAGACTCTGGGGTCACAGAGAGTCGGATACGACTGAGTGCGCGCACACACATGATGTATCGTAACATTTATAGCATGGGGAAAATGGAAGCCATCTGTACATCCAACAAAAGAGCAAAACAGGCAAACCCCTTGGATCTACATGATGGGATTCTTAAAAGTCACTAAAATTCATGTTGGAGATAAATACTTGATAACATGGAAAGACATCCATGCATAGCCAAGTGAAGAAATTAGACCACACAGCACACCAATATCATCCATCCCAGGGCGTGACAGTGGCTGCCTCTGCATGATATCATCCATCCCAGGGTGTGACAGTGGCTGCCTCTGCATGAGAGAATGACCAGTGATCAAGTTTTGTCTATTTGTTTCTGTTTTCTAAGTTGTCTCCATTCAACACATAATAGTTGAGCAGTGGGAAATGGGGGAAAATTTTAAACAAAGATGACTTTGGGACTTCCCTGGTGGTTCAGTGGTTAAGACTGCGTACTGCCAATGCAGGGAACACAAGTTCAATCCCTGGTCAGAGAACTATGTAAGATACCACGTGCTGCATGGCACAGCCAAAAAATATAAGTTAAACCAAGACGACTTTTTCTTGTTTAGCAATAAATTTGGTAACAATTGCAGGCACACACAAAGGAAAGTGTGTGTGTGTGTGTGTGTGTGTGTGTGTGTGAGTCCCGCACCCAACATTTGTGCTAATAATCGACATTAAAGGAAGAAGAGGGGCATGGAAGACAAAGACAGAGAGAGGGGATCCTAGGCTGATTTCATGTATGAAAACCTCCTTTTAACTACCTGCCTAGTAATTGACTGGGTTTCCCAGGTGGCACTAGTCGTTAAGAACCTGCCTGCCAATGCAGGAGACATAAAAGACGTGGGTTTGATCCCTGGGTCGGGAAGATCCCCTGGAGACGGAAATGGCAACCCACTCCAGTGTTCTTGCCTAGGAAACACCATGGACAGAGGAACCTGGCTGACTACAGTCACAGAGTCAACACGACTGATGTTACTCAGCACACTAGTAATTAGCTGTGTTCATCTGTGTTGGCAGGGGTGGAGACAGGGGAGTGAGGCTGACGATGGGTCTGCTGTGAGGAATTGCAATTCCACTTTGAGGAAGTGCCTTAATTAAATGCAATCTGTATGGGTTTATTTTTGCATAACCGCTAATGCACCAGACTGCATTCTGATGTTTCAGTGACTATAATAAGCGCTTTTGTGACCTCTAGTGGTCATGGCTGGTAAAGGCTAAGTTTGCTTCCCGCAGGAAGTAGTTAAGTTCAGTTCAGTCGCTCAGTCGTGTCCAGCTCTTTGCGACCTCACGGACCGCAGCACGCCAGGCCTCCCTGTCCATCACCAACTCCAGAAGTTTACTCAAACTCATTTACATCGAGTCGGTGATGCCATCCAGCCATCTCAGCCTCTGTTGTCCCCTTCTCCTCCTGCCTAATCTTTCCCAGCATCAGGGTGTTTTCCAATGAGTCAGCTCTTCGCATGAGGTGGCCAAAGGATTGGAGTTTCATGTTCAACATCAGTCCTACCAGTGAACACCCAGGACTGATCTCCTTTAGGGTGGACTGGTTGGATCTCCTTGAAGTCCAGGGGACTCTCAAGAGTCTTCTCCAACACCAGGGTTCAAAAGTAGTCAGGAAGTGGGCAGTTGGGCCCAACTACTTTTGTGAAGATGCAAAGGAAAGAGGAAGGAAGATTACCACCAAATACTATCCCCCATTTAAAAATAACACAGAACACAAAGTGCATATAGAGGGAATATTCCTCAATATGATGAAGGCTATATATGACAGTCCTACAGCCAAAATCTTACTCAACCATGAAAAGCTGAAAGCATTTCCTCCAAGCTCAGGAACAAGACAAGGAGGCCCATTCTTGTCCCTTTCATTCAACATAGTATTGAAATCTCTAGCCAGAGCAACATTGTAAAGCAATTACCCTCCAATTAAAAATAAATAAACTTCTTAAAAGAAAAATAAATGAAGTAAAAAGCCTACCCTCTCATGTTTTCAAAGGAACTAACCATATACCTGGAGGAATTTTAAAAAACATATGAAATGAAACAGAAAAGAACAGTTTTAAATTTTATCTTGAAGATCAAGCATGCAAAATGTGCCATAATATTTTTTTGCAGAGTAAAGTGCAAAAGTGAAGAACTTGACCAGATGTATGTAAAAATGTGTAATAAAGTAACGATAATTAAAACAGTGTGGCACTGGTTTCAGAAAGAGAGGCTATGGGAGTGGAGTTCAGAAGGAACTCAAAAAAATTAAAATGTGGGAATTTAGTACATTATAAAGTCACATATCAAATGAGGGTTTTCAACTTGGAAAAGAATTATGTTAGAGCCTTACCTCTGTCCCTTATAATCATATGATCAGTCTCAAAAACTCTGAAAATTACTGGTAGATTTTACTGCTTAAAAAATTATCATCATGCCTCAAAAAAATTAAAGGATGTACTGAAAGATGAAAAAAAATCAAAACACATACAACTGAACAGGAGTTAATATACATAACAATAAGCTTTGAATCCAGAAAAAAAAATGAACAGTGTAATTAAAAAACAAAATATACAAGAAAGTGAATCACACATACAAAAAAACAGACAAAAATATATAAAACCAAAAAGATGAGAAAAGTTCATCATCTCTAGTAATTTTTTTAAATTGCAAACTAGGGACTTCCCTGGTGTTTGAGTGTTTAAGACTGCACTCCCAAGGCAGGGGCCCAGCTTCAGTCCCTGGTCAGGGAACCCCCGAACGCAGCAGAGTGCAGCCAAAAATAATATGCAAAGTGTGTAACCAGGATGCAAGCAATGTCACTAGGCAGAGCTCGGAATATGCTATCGGAAATCAGCTACAGTTTTGCCTGCAACTGCTTATCCAGACTAACTCTGGAAGGCCGTTTTGTTGCATTTTCTACTCACTCCTTGATTAAAGAAAAAAAAGTTGTGTTGTCACTTCCAACCACAGAAAACATATTGATTTCAGTAACTAAAATGTCCCAAACTGTGTAATAATTGAAACTTGGAATTGCATTTAAAAGTAAAGCTCCTTACCTCTTCCAGTTTCAGTCAGAGAGAGAGAGGTGAAAACAAAAATGGAGGCAAGGGGACGGGTCTTTAGTTCTCATTTCTGCACATTTACCAACACTTAAGACCTTTCCTGCCCCTGACCTCTCATCTCTGACCCCTTTGGGATGGCTTACAGTCATGGCACCTGCTAGAAGTTGACCTGTACCCTCCTCTCCCCCAAGAAGAGGTAAGCTGGAGTCCTAACCAGTAATACCTAAAAATGCCTTATTTGGAGCGAGGATCTTCACAGAGGAAATCAAGTTAAAGTGAGGTAACCAAGGTGTGCCCTAATCTAATAAGATTGGTGTCCTTATAAAAGGTGGGGATTTGGACCCAGGACAGACCAGCCTAGAGGGAAAACGATATGAAGAGAAGGGAGAAGATGGCCATCTACCAGCCCAGCAGAGATGCTTAGAGCAGACCCTCTTCCACAACTCTCAGGAGAAACCAATGCTGCTGACACCTTGACTTCACACTTGGGCCCCCAGAACAGGCGGGCAGTAACCTTCTATCGTTTCTGCCACCCAGTCTGGGATACTTTGTTAGAGCATTCCACTGGGTCCTGAGATAGTTGTTTCAAGACTTTTTTTTAACATGGATCATTTTCAAAGTCTTTATTGAATTTGTTACAATATTACCTCCATTTTGTGTTTTGGTTTTTTGGCCTGTGACGCATGTGGGATCCTTTGCTCCCCGACCAGGGATCAAACCCACACCCCCGGCACTGGAAGGCAAAGCCTCAACCACTGGGCCGCCAGGGAAGTCCCCCGGGTACACTAAAGTGTCCTCTTTCTCCTCGGGGCGCTTCCTGGGGTTTTCAGAGGGCACACACACACTGACTGCGGAGGACATCTCAGGGGCCTTGATGTGGGCACGTCCATCGCTGCCGGACAGCTGGCTGCTGCACGGACTCTTCCCGCTGGCCCTGGCCGTCCATCGGTACAGCTCCTCTGGCTTCAACTGTAAGCCTGCACACAGGTCCACTTCCGGCCAACAGCATAGTCATACCTTTGACTTGACATCAGTGCAAACATGGCTACTTCCTTCTACTCTGAAGCCACAGGGTGATTTGATCAGCCTCCAAACACAGACTTTCCAAGCCCTATGTCAGCGGGATGATCTTGAAATATCTCTCACTGAGCCTCACAGAGCACTTCATCCCTGAGCAGCGGGGAGGGAAGTGAAACTCAGAGAATATCAACTCTGTCCCAAGAAACCCTTATTGTCCTCACCAGTTTTCCCTTCCTTTTTTGATTTTTCCAGCGCTTCTTACAGACTGGGGCTTTCCTGGTGGCTCAGATGGTAAGGACCCTGCCTGCAATGCGAGAGACCCGGGTTTGACCCCTGGGTCAGGGAGATCCCCTGGAGAAGAAAAGGGCAACCCACTCCAGTATTCTTGCCTGAAGAATCCCATGGACACAGGAGCCTGGCGGGCTACAGTTCCTGGGGTCCCAAACAGCTGGACACAACTGAGTAACAAACTACACACTAGAGGAGAGTGAGTAGCTAAGAATAGCAAAGAGAATCCCTATCAACTCCTTTATATTAATAAGTCCAGCCTAGGAAGCTCAACTCCTCAATCTGAATTACAGGAATTATCACATACCTTGGGGCCTCAGGCCAAACTGAGTCACAGGCAATTCTGTGTAAAAGTCCTGTTATAAACATAACATTTGATGTGGTTTTTCACCTGCCATATTCAGTTCAGTTCAGTGGCTCAGTCGTGTCCAACTCTTTGCGACCCCATGAACCGCAGCACGCCAGGCCTCCCTGTCCATCACCAGCTCCCTGAGTCCACCCAAACCCATGTCCATCGAGTTGGTGATGACATCCAACCATCTCATCCTCTGTCGTCCCCTTCTCCTCCTGCCCTCAATCTTTCCCAGCAGCAGGATCTTTTCAAATGAGTCAGCTCTTCGCATCAGGTGGCCAAAGGATCGGAGTTTCAGCTTCAACATCAGTCCTTCCAATGAACACCCAGGACTGATCTCCTTTAGGGTGGACTGGTTGGATCTCCTTGCAGTCCAAGGGACTCTCAAGAGTCTTCTCCAACACCACAGTTCAAAAGCATCAATTCTTCGGCACTCAGCTTTCTTTATAGTCCAACTCTCACATCCATACCTTTCCTTCCAAGGAGTAAGCGTCTTTTAATTTCATGGCTGCAATCACCATCTGCAGTGATTTTGGAGCCCAGAAAAATAAAGTCAGCCACTGTTTCCACTATTTCCCCATCAATTTGCCTGTCATATTGGCAAAGCTCTAAAAGGACTCTCATACCCTTTCTCAGAAAGGGTGTATACAAACAGTCATGCTCATCCATTGTTGGTGACGGCTCGTTTTATGCAATTTTATGAGGCAAAATGATTTTAAATGAAAGTCCCTTTGATCCAGTGACTTTTCTTTGGAATTTGCTCAATAGAAATACCAAAACAGTACCAAAATGGTATGACTAAGGATGTTTATTGCAGCAAAGTCTGTTTATAACAGACTTGTAAATAACTTGACTAAGCCACAATAGGGATTCATTTATTATGGTGAAACCATTCATAGAAATGCCGTGGATCTCGTCTGTAAATTCTAAGACAAAAGCAAGAACAGTAGTTGTCATGGTTCCCTCTTCTTGGTCAAACAATTAGAAACTGATCCGTTCTTCATGCCTGTTGGCTCACTCCATGAGAAATGCTGGAAATAACTCCCTTGTAAAACTCTAGCAACTCCCCAGAGTCTGGCTGACTGATTTAGCTGGAAAGCTCTGGAACATGTGTACACATGCTCATGTGTCTCATGGCAGGAAGGTAGATGCTCAGTAGATACACGCGCAAAAAGGGAAGACTTCTCTGAGGCTTGTTTCCACCGTCATCTACAGACAAAAAAGGGCTCTGATACGATAACCTGTGTGCACCTGAGAGCCCTTGGTGAACAGCAGGTCGCTCCAGTGTGCTCATTACTAACGCTGTGCTAGAGCACGTGTGTCTCTAATGCACCTGCTCCAGTGTGCTCATTACTAACGCTGTGCTAGAGCACGTGTCTCTAATGCACCTGCTCCAGTGTGCTCATTACTAACGCTGTGCTAGAGCACGTTGTGTCTCTAATGCACCTGCTCCAGTGTGCTCATTACTAACGCTGTGCTAGAGCACGTGTGTCTCTAATGCACCTGCTCCAGTGTGCTCATTACTAACGCTGTGCTAGAGCACGTGTGTCTCTAATGCACCTGCTCCAGTGCGCTCATTACTAACGCTGTGCTAGAGCACGTGTGTCTCTAATGCACCTGCTCCAGTGCGCTCATTACTAACGCTGTGCTAGAGCACGTGTGTCTCTAATGCACCTGCTCCAGTGCGCTCATTACTAACGCTGTGCTAGAGCACGTGTGTCTCTAATGCACCTGCTCCAGTGCGCTCATTACTAACGCTGTGCTAGAGCACGTTGTGTCTCTAATGCACCTGCTTGTTTGGCTGCGCTCGGTCTTCCTTGCTGCACACAGGCTTCCTCTGCTTGCAGGGAGCAGGGGCTGCTCCTGGTTGCGCGCACTGGTTCCTCACTGCAGTGGTTCTCTCGTTGCAGAGCACGGGCTCTAGAAGTTCAGGCTGTAGCAGCTGGGGCGTGATGGTGCAGCAGTTGCAGCTCGCGGGCGCTAGTGCACAGACTCAATACTTGTGGGGAACGGGCTCAGCTGCTCTGCGGCGTGTGGGATTCTCCCAGGCCAGGGATCAAAGCTGTGTCACCTGCACCGGCAGGCAGATTCTTACTTCCTGGATCACCAGGGAAGTCGCCAGTACATTGTTTTTGTTGTGGAGAAAACTATGGTACCATTGTCCTTTTAGAAATGCTCTACACCATATGGAAGCTAGATGGATTTATTACAAAAAAAGACAAAAGCTAATATTAACGAGCCCCTTGAGAAGTTTCTGTGGGCTTTCTGAAGTGAAGAGACTGCATGGTTATTTATTACATTATGATATTCTCATTAGAATCTGAGAAGCAAAAATCCAATATTTTTATTAAAATGAGAGTACACACACACGCACGCACACGCACGCGCGTGCATGTTATGTGTGTCATGCATGTTATGTGTGTCACGCATGTTATGTGTGTCACGCATGTTATGTGTGTCGTGCATGTCATGTGTGTCACGCATGTTGTGTGTGTCGTGCATGTTATGTGTGTCGTGCCTGTTATGTGTGTCACGTATGTTATGTGTGTCGTGCATGTGTGTCACGCATGTTGTGTGTGTCACGCATGTTATGTGTGTCGTGCATGTTATGTGTCGTGCGTGTTGTGTGTCGTGCATGTTGTGTGTCGTGCATGTTATGTGTGTCGTGCATGTTATGTGTGTCGTGCATGTTATGTGTCGTGCACGTTATGTGTGTTATGTGTGTCACGCATGTTATGTGTGTCGCGCACGTTATGTGTCGCGCATGTTATGTGTGTCGCGCATGTTATGTGTGTCGCGCATGTTATGTGTGTCACGCATGTTATGTGTGTCGCGCATGTTATGTGTGTCGCGCATGTTATGTGTGTCGCGCATGTTATGTGTGTCACGCATGTTATGTGTGTCGCGCATGTTATGTGTGTCACGCATGTTATGTGTGTCGCGCGTGTCGTGTGTGTCGCGGGTGTCGTGTGTGTCACGCGTGTCATGTGTGTCACGCGCGTTATGTGTGTCACGCATGTTATGTGTGTCGTGCATGTCATGTGTGTCACGCATGTTGTGTGTCGTGCCTGTTATGTGTGTCACGCATGTTATGTGTGTCGTGCACGTTATGTGTGTCATGCATGTTATGTGTGTCGTGCCTGTTATGTGTGTCACGCATGTTGTGTGTGTCACACATGTTATGTGTCGTGCATGTTATGTGTGTCGTGCGTGTTGTGTGTCGTGCATGTTATGTGTCGCGCATGTTATGTGTGTCGCGCATGTTATGTGTGTCGTGCATGTTATGTGTCGTGCACGTTATGTGTGTTATGTGTGTCACACGTTATGTGTGTCGCGCACGTTGTGTGTGTCGCGCATGTTATGTGTGTCGCGCATGTTATGTGTGTCGTGCATGTTATGTGTGTCACGCATGTTATGTGTGTCACGCACGTTATGTGTGTCACGCACGTTATGTGTGTCACGCACGTCATGTGTGTCACGCATGTCATGTGTGTCGTGCATGTTGTGTCGCGCATGTCATGTGTGTCACGCATGTTGTGTCACGCGTGTCGTGCATGTCATGTGTGTCACGCATGTCATGTGTGTCACGCATGTCGTATGTGTCACGCATGTTGTGTGTGTCACGCATGTTGTGTCGTGCATGTTGTGTGTGTCACGCATGTTGTGTGTCGCGCATGTTGTGTGTCGCGCATGTCATGTGTGTCGTGCATGTCGTGTGTCACGCATGTTGTGTGTGTCACGCATGTCATGTGTGTCGTGCATGTTGTGTGTCACTCATGTTGTGTGTCGTGCGTGTTGTGTGACGCATATTATGTGTGTCGTGCACGTTATGTGTGTCATGCATGCATGTCGTGTGTCACGCATGTTGTGTGTGTCACGCATGTCATGTGTGTCGTGCATGTTGTGTGTCACTCATGTTGTGTGTCATGCGTGTTGTGTGTCACGCATGTTATGTGTGTCGTGCACGTTATGTGTGTCATGCATGTTATGTGTGTCATGCACGTTATGTGTGTCACGCATGTCATGTGTGTCGTGCATGTTGTGTGTCACTCATGTTGTGTCGTGCGTGTTGTGTGTCACGCATGTTATGTGTGTCGTGCACGTTATGTTTGTCACGCATGTTATGTGTGTCGTGCATGTTATGTGTGCCACGCATGTCATGTGTGTCGCGCATGTTGTGTGTGTCGTGCATGTTTGCATGTTATGTTCAGTCGACAGCTTTACCTGGGCCTGGGTTACGGGTCTGTTACCTCCAACTCTGGAGCTTAAAATAAGAAATTAAAAGTGGAGGTGTCAGATAAACTTTTATACAGATGGGAAGACTATAAATCTCAGTGGATACTGGCCTGGATAATCCAGAAACAATACCTTGTGCCTATACTCTACTTTTTAAACTTTCAAAGTGCTCACAGAGCACGGAGTCCCAAGCTTGATTAGGTATTAGAATCACTGGTAGGGCTAGCTCAAGACAGGACTTCCTGAACCCCGTCTTTAGAATTTCTTAATAAGTAGGAACCAGATATTTATGTTGAACGAAGGCCTGAGGAAACTCTGAAAACCAACTTTTGGGAGATGCTAGCAAACATTCCAATAAAACTAAGTCTGCCAAGATTCCCTATTTTGCACCATACCGCTGCTGCTGCTGCTGCTAAGTCGCCTCAGTCGTGTCCGACTCTGTGCGACCCCATAGATGACAGCCCACCAGTCTCCTCTGTCCCTGGGGTTCTCCAGGCAAGAACACGGCAGTGGGTTGCCATTTCTTTCTCCAATGCGTGAAAGTGAAAAGTGAAAGTGAAGTCGCTCAGTCGTGTCTGACTTTTAGCGACCCCATGGACTGCAGCCCACCAGGCTCCTCCGTCCATGGGATTTTCCAGGCAAAAGCACTGCAGTGGGGTGCCATTGCCGTCTCCGTTGCACCATACTGCCTGTATAGCAAAAATTTAGTCTCTGAACCTCATTTTTCTACAAAGAACTAGCCTTGAACTATCAGAAGAGAAGTGTAAATAAACAGCTGTGAAAAATTTGAGGGGAAAAATACTTTTCTGTGATGGGGGAAGACCTCAGGTACATCCTTCCATTTTCCACACCCTTTATTTATTCTTCTCATATCTCAGCGTTAGCTGTTTGTATTTCCATCATATCGCCTCTACATAAATTCATAAAGATAGGATCACTGATTTTCACATTTGTAGCCGCCATTGTACTTAACTCTTACAAAGAAAAAAATAGACATTACAGTTACTACTTAAATGCAGAAATCTGAGTTAATGTTTAGTTCTTTTAAAATAAATAATGAGGTAGACGTTTCAGGGTACCAAAAGACTTAAGAGTCCAATCAACGAGTGCCTGTACTGCAGGTTTATTCTCCACCCAAAACAATATTATACAGCGTTGGGCTTGAGACTTTTAAATGCCTGAGAACATGGGAATCGCCCACTTTTTGTGAAGAGGCAAGGATAGCACAGAAGAGCTGCCCAAAATCTGACCCAGGCCGGGCGGGTGGGGGTGAGGGGCAAGTTTAACCCTTTCAGAGCCGTTCTTGGGACAGAAATGAGTGGCTGCAATAAAACCCACTAACTTCTCTGATACAGATTCAGCGTGCAAATAGTCAAAAAGTACATACAACTGTGGGCAGGGAGGGTTCTCCCAACAGTTCTGCAAGATTACAGGTTTTACTGTTGCCGTTTACGAAATTAATCCTTGGAGAAAGACCACGCGCGGATTTAGCAGGATTTAAGCACCGTAGACATCAGCCTCAACTGGTAATCCCGTTTTCCGTCTAGAAGCTTGGGGAAAGAGCCTCTTTCTAAGTATGAAAAAGCTTCGGGCCCATAAAGATGACTTGCCCAAACTTGTCCCAGAATAATCACACCGTTTGTCATTTTAACTTGTGTCAGGTTTTGACATTGTGCGTTCACTGGTTTCGGAATCGCAGACTGAGCTCAAATTCGGGTTGCACCACTTTCCCGGCGGGGGACTTGGGGCAAGTTAAACCTTTGGCCTTGGAAATGGAATCTGCGTAGTGCGTTAGGATGCGCTTGTCGCAGGGATTTGCTGAGGAGTCAATGCCAGGACGGGGCGCATTCAGTGCAGCGCCCGGGGAACGTTAAGGCAAGCATGCGTCCGTCGCTTTCCCCCGCTGTCCCGGGAGGGAGGAGGGGCGAGAGGCGGCGCGAGGCAGCGAACCGCGCGGCAGCACCTCGCCACCCGCTCCGGCCCCTCTCCGCGCGGTCCTCCGCGGAGACAGCGCCCGTCCCCGCCGGACCCATCTCGGAACGGACCGCCAGCCCCCGCGGGCGCCAGGCCGGAACCCAGGTACCGAGCCTCCGGTTTCCTCCGCTTCCTCCCGGGACTCTCTGCGGGCTGGACCGGCGCGAACGCAACTTCCGGCCCGACGGAGCGGCGGATGGAGCGGCTCGGGACAAGGCTCCCGGGCGTCGTCTTTGCGCGCGGAGCCATGTGGCAGCTGCCGAGTGGCGCCCGCGCGCCCCTCCTACGGGCGACCCTATCAGGTCAGCTGTCCCCTGTCCCCCAGGCTTCACCCCCACCCCCCGTCGGCTGTCTCGCACCGCCTGAGGCCCCCCTCGCGGGTGCTGAAGCGGGAGCGGGCCATCAGCGCCCTCCGCCCCTCACTCCGACAGACTCGTGCAGAAGCATCCGCGTGACGTGGGGTCGCCCCCAAGTCCCCGGCTGCTCCTTCTCGGAAGCCGAAAGCCTAGGGTCTACCTGAGTGGAGCCCGCGGCCCACAGGATAGCTCTGTCGGGAGCTTCAGACCCAGAGCGCGTCAGGCCCTGGCCCTGTCGCCTTCGGGGTTTGATCTGACCTTTCTTTGTAGATTCGTGGGCAGCGCTGCCCGCCCGTGCCGGCCTGAAGACGCTGCTCCCGGTGCCAACGTTTGAAGGTGAGATCTTGTCTGTAAGCCTTTTCTGTGATGGAGCCTAGCGGGGGTAGGTGAAGAGCAGGCGTTTCCTTGTGCCCTTATTCCCATTCATCCCTTCAGTAGTCATGTATTGCAGGTATACTCTATGCCAGGCAGTGTTCTAAATGCTGGAGAAAACTCCGTAATGGATTATCTCCCCTGTGGCCCACAACTGGTGCGAGACCCGCAGCCCCCTTCTCAGCTGCACCTAATCGGCCTCCAGTTTAGACTTCTGACGTTTGCTCCAAATGAGGTCACATGTGTGTGTGTACCTATTGTGTGAAAAGCATTAATTTGTTAATAGAAACAGGGTAAGCCACAATTTAATAAATCTTATACTTTTTAAAATATATTGGAAATCTCAAAACTATGAAAGAGGTCTGGACTTCTTAAGGCCTCATCTTGTACGTGTAACTGTGAAACTGCCACACCCACTGGAGCGCATACTGCCTTGGAGACGAGAAAACATTACTGAGTTCTCTGTGGTGTGCTCAGTCGTGTCTGACTCCTCTGTAACCCGCGGACTGTGGCCCACCAGGCTCCTCTGAGTGGGTTGCCGTTTCCTTGTCCAGGGGATCTTCTTGACCCATGGATCAAACACACATCTCCTGCATTGGCAGGCAGATTCTTTACCGCTGAGCCGCCAGGGAAGCCCAAGACACATAGAAATGGCAGGAGGCAGTTTTTGTAGCCTTAAAGGCTCCTGTTTATATTTGACTTCATCACAGACCCATGCTTATTTTACTATGAAAATAACTGTAAATAACTGTAAGTGCAAGTTAATTTTTTTCCATATTGTCAGTGTCAGACCTGATAAAGACGTAGCATGTGTGGCCTGGGTTTCAGCCCACCTGCCTTCACCTGGCAAGGACATGGTAGGATATATATATACAGCTCTCAGCACGAAATGCCCTCGACTATATAAAGGAAAGAGCATTGATCAAAGGAGTACTAGGGTGGAGAAAAGGGAACCCTCTTACACTGTTGGTGGGAATGCAAATTAGTACAGCCACTATGGAAAACAGTGTGGAGATTTCTTAAAAAGCTGGAAATAGAACTGCCATATGACCCAGCAATCCCACTTCTGGGCATACACACCGAGGAAACCAGATCTGAAAGAGACACGTGTACCCCAATGTTCATCGCAGCACTGTTTATAATAGCCAGGACATGGAAGCAACCTAGATGCCCATCAGCAGATGAATGGATGAGGAAGCTGTGGTACATATACACCATGGAATATTACTCAGCCATTAAAAAGAATTCATTTGAATCAGTTCTAATGAGATGGATGAAACTGGAGCCCATTATACAGAGCGAAGTAAGCCTGAAAGATAAAGACCATTACAGTATACTAACACATATATATGGAATTTAGAAAGATGGTAACGATAACCCTATGTGCAAAACAGAAAAAGAGACTCCTATGTATAGAACAGACTTGTGGACTCTGGGAGAAGGCGAGGGTGGGATGTTTCAAGAGAACAGCATTGAAACACGTATATTATCTAGGGTGAAACAGTTCACCAGCCCAGGTTGGGTGCATGAGACAAGTGCTCGGGCCTGGTGCACTGGGAAGACCCAGAGGGATTGGGTGGAGAGGGAGGTGGGAGGGGGGACCGGGATGGGGAATACATGTAAAAAAAAAAGATAAAAAGATACACTATGGTTGTGATAAAAAAAAATAAATTAAAAAAAAAAAAAAAAAAAAAAAAAAGATACACTATGGTTGTGATAAAAAAAAAATTAAAAAAAAAAAAAAAAAAAGGAGTACTAGGTTGAAAGTTTCCCAGCAAGAATGTGGCAAGCAGGAAAACTTAGTTACTTTTATATATACAATATAATATCATACTGTCTGGCTTTGCTGTTTTAACTGAATGACCCAGATCAAATTATAAAATGTCTCCAGGCCTGAGGTTCCTCTTCTATAAAATGGAGATTAAAATTACTACCTTCCATTTCTTTATCTGGATGATAGTTATGTGCATGTTTGTGTGTTCACTTTGTGATAATTCACATTTTTTATTGGGCCCTTTAATATATGTGTGTTAAACTTTTAAAAGTTTAAAAAATTTAAAAAGGAAGCCCTAAAAAAAACCAGGGTTATAAAGTTGTTTTAAAGATTAAATGAGATAATGCATGTAGAGAATTCAGCTTAATTGCAGCACACAAAACATACATTCACATACACAAAAAAATGTCACCTCATGTTATTTTGTCACTGTCTCATATCTCTATACCTTCCCTAACAGTTCCTTTAGGGTAGGCATTTTAAAAGAGTAGGCATTTTAAAAAGGCATTTTGCTTGGCAAGTTAAATCTTTGCTATCTTAAAAGGTTCAAAAACATTTCTATCAACAACTGCCATAGTCAGAAGATTCCAGTGTCAATGAAAGCATCCACAAGGTAAATCGAACACACTTTTGGAATTGTTGAGTGGTAACTTTAAGGCTTTGACCTGGTTGTTATGAATCTTTCTAGGAAGAAAATGAATCCTTTGACTTTGACCGAAGTCACATCCTTCGGTTTGACTCATTCTTAGTTGTCTATGCTCCTTTTAGATGTCTCCATTCCTGAAAAGCCCAAGCTTAGATTTGTTGAAAGGGCACCACTTGTGCCAAAAGTGAGGAGAGAGCCTAAAAACCTGCGTGACATACGAGGTCCGTCCACGGAAGCCACGGAGTTCACAGACGGCAATTTTGCAATCTTGGTGAGTTCCGTGTCCAGCGACTCCAGGCCAGAATCTGGGGACTAAAACAGACTCCTTGAGTTCCTTCTGGTCGCTTCCTCCACAGCTTTCACTAGAATGCCACCAGCAGCTCTTTAAACTGATGTGCAGCACCCAGTAAGCATTGAGTCATAAATGCTTTTTAACAGAGTGAAAATAATGTAAAAGCAGGAGACGGAAGAGGTTACCTCATTTATCCCATAGTCAGACCGTGAGATCTACTCAGCCTCTGATCGAGGTTATCCATGATGTAGTATATAGGATGTCTAGACATTTCCTACTCATCAGGTAGCTTCTGTGAAGACTTGATGTCATTACCTACACAGATGGCTGTGGACGCTGGTTTAGTTCCCACCAGGCAGCCAGAGGTTTTCAAGTCCGCTTCCCAAAGCCTGCCCAACCAGCCCTGCCCGCCTTTCAGCACCTCGGTCTGCTCCGCATCCCTCTCTCTCTGCCCCAGCCACACAGGCTTCTGCTCAGACTCACCACAGGCTTCGCATGTGCCATTCCTTTGCCCGGAACGCTCAAATCTGTTTTCCCTTGGCTGGTTTGTTCACTTCTGGCATCAGCTATAAATGTCACCTCCTCAAAGAGGTCTTCCCTGGCTATCCATTGAAGTGGGTCCACACTTGTTCTCAAGTTGTTATCATACCCTGGGCTTTTCCTCCATCGTACTTACTAGAATTTATATTTTTACTTTTCATGTGTATCGTTGAAACCACAGTTACCATAAGACATAAGAATAGCGTGCTAAGTCGCTTCAGTTGCGTCCAGCTCTGCGATGCTATGGTCTCTAACCTGCCAGGCTCCTCCCCGTGTAATTCTCAAGGCAAGAATACTGGAGTGGGTTGCCACGGCCTCCCCCAGGGGATCTTCCCAACCGAGGGATCGAACCTGTCTCTCTTATGTCCCCTGCATTGGCAGGAGGGTTCTTTACCACTAGCACCACCTCTTAGAGCACAAATGAAGAATATCTAAATTTTCATGTGTTTCTAATTTTTCCGTTCACTTCTAGGCACTGGGTGGCGGTTACCTCCATTGGGGGCATTTTGAAATGATGCGCCTGACAATCAACCGCTTCATGGACCCCAAGCACATGTTTGCCTTATGGCGAGTACCAGCCCCATTCAAGGCCGTCACCCGCAAGGGCATGGGGCAGCGCATGGGAGGCGGCAAGGGCGCCATCGACCACTACGTGACTCCCGTGAAGGCCGGCCGCCTCATAGTCGAGGTGGGCGGGCGCTGCGAATTCCAGGAGGTACAAGGCATCCTTGACCAGGTTGCCCACAAGTTGCCTTTCCCTGCTAAAGCCGTGAGCCGTGAGACTCTAGAGAAGATGCAGAAAGACCAAGAGGAGCGAGAACGGAACAACCAGAACCCCTGGACCTTTGAGCGCATCGCCACCGCCAACATGCTGGGGATACGGAAGGTGCTGAGCCCCTACGACCTGACCCTCCGGGGGCGGTACTGGGGCAAGTTCTACATGCCTGAGCGCGTGTAGTGAAGCTCAGGAGCGGGAACCCGCGCCTTTGTGCCCCTAAGCCAGCCCTTCGGGTCTTTGGGTACCTCCGATGTCATAACCGGGGAGCGGCATGTGAAAAACTGTACATCACCTGTCGGATTCTTAAGTGCATTATATTAAAGTGTGAGCATCAGCTCAAGATGATGTAACTTCTCGTTGGTCACTCAGTCCCTTAAAGGATGAAGAACCAGACCTGATTGGTTCTCAACTGGAAGAGGAATGTCTTCAAGGCTAAATTACATGCTTCCTTTTCCACCTCTGATACAAGTCAACCTTTTACATATACACACTTCAGAAGCTAGTTTTTATGGCACTTTACTAGTTACAAACTTTTACTGTTTCTGGAAAAACAGGAAAAAAACAGCAGTACACAGAATACTTGACTCAACATATTTATTTATGCCCAGCTACCCATCTTCTCTCAGTCATGGAAGGGGGGATGTTGGACAATGTGGCAAGAGACATACCCTTGCCTTTTAGCAAAAGGAACTGATAGAAAAGCTGAATGGTGTGGTCTTTCCTAGGCCTGAAACCCTCTGAGGATGGAGGGTGTCTGGCTCTGCGTCTGCTGCCCGGCGCGCAGATCCCTATTGCTGAATGAGCAAGGGCCTGGGTCATTCAAAGGCCCATGGTTCCAGCCCCGTGTTTGCCTTGAACAAAGTTCACCTGTTTTTCAGAGCTAGCTAGTAGTGGTTTCTATCCTGTATGCAAACCAAAGGAGATACAGATTGATAGAAATATTAAACCATTTGCTTTGAAAGTGGGCAGAAAACAGCATTGACTAAAATGTCCGTTTTTTTTTTTTAACCCCACTTTCTTAAAAAGTTAGACTTAATGGCAAAATAATTTACTTTCCAAAGTACAAATTCATCTAAGCAGTTGAGTGGTCAGGAATGGTATGCTGTGATCTTTAATGTATCTTTAGTGACTCTCTTGTACAATAATCACTAAGTTGCATTAGGACACACCTGAACCTTGAACAGAGGACGGTGTTTGGAACCGTTTGCTGCACACACGCTGGTGGCCAATGCGGCCAGTCTCAGCTGGCAGCGTGAATCCGAAGGAACAGTGATGGGTTCATTTCGCCTTCTGACCTGACATCGTCACCTCTTTGTTAGGGCTCATGGAGCAGTGGGGGTGATGACTATGGGGCATTCAGCCACAGCATAAACCTGTTTCGGGGTCCACATTTAATTACTGAACCACAATCCTGGGGCCAGCCATCTCTGCAAAGTAACAGGCTGTTGACAACTCTATCACCACCTCCCATAAATGAAGGACTTTTAAAGTGTATGTTGTGGAAACGGGGGTAGGGGGCGCTTCTGTACTTTTGCATAAGTGGATCAACCCACTCCGGGACATTTTTATACAGACTGATATAGATCATTTCCCATTGATGCCTTAAAATGTTGAAGAATCAAGTCCAAGGATTCATCCATAGTAGAAACCAGCATAGTGAAGTGGACAGAGGGAGCAGCTGTAAGTGGCAGGCCCTGTGCTAAGCACTGTGGACACAGCAGTGAGGAGCCATGCTCGGGGTCTATCACTGGACAATCGCCTCAGAGACTGTGAGGCTCTGAAGAAGGAAGGGGACGGGGGGTGGGTCAAAGGTGAGACCTGGAACCGGAAGTGCAGAAGCAGCAGCGCCGGGATCAGATGACCACCGCCCCGCCCCGCGGTGAAGTCCTGCCCCCAGCAGCTGACGTCAGAGGGCTCCAGCTCCACGTTTCCTAAACAGTCTCCTACGTGTTCTCCGCGAACCACCTTCCTAGCCCGCCACAAAGTGCCATACTCCCCGCCCCATCACCCCTGCCTGCCGCCCAAGTCCATATTCTCCTAAGTCTCCCTTTGCGTCACTTTGAATGGGGAGATGGTTGAGGTCCTGTGTCATACGAGGTTTCACAATGGAAAGAAGAACTTGGGAGGAGTCTGCGGCAGCGAAGTGGCGGCCCCACAGAGGTGGAAGAAGGATGAGAAAGCAGGTGAGGGTCCATCTGTGAGGGCTGAAGGGACGACAGAAACGGGGAGATCACAGATCATATGCCGGGGTGGCCGCGGCCAGGGTCACCACCACTGTCTACAGGCATGAAGAACAACTCACAGGCCTGCAAAAACCTGCCTAAACTCGGAAGGGAAGAACGTTAGTTATTTTGGGTTCACCCTGTGGTCCTCTTCCAGAGTTTCAGGGTGCTTCTAGTCAATAACGAATTTGTTCTCCACCATTCCCATGTGCCAAAGCCTTCACTGAGGGAGAGCCTTCACCACAGGAAGCCAACACTCTTAGGCAAAGGATTACCAAAAAGATCCCCTGCTGGCGGACCTGCTTACAGGACAGATGGCCACTTTCTGTCTCCTCATCCACCTGTGCTCCACCAGCTCCCTCTTCACTCATTTCCCTCTGTTTCTCGGTTTTCTCCAACCGTAACTCCAGCACCCAATCCCATGCAGATTAAGGCACGACAAACAGGTGACAAACAGCATTCAGGACACGAGCATCTCAAGTGAAAACAGGTCTGACCCCCACCCCACCCCCGGCCCCCAGAGATGGCTCACCTGTTTCTTTTTTTTCAGGCAAATATGCCCCCAATAGTAGAAGCTAAGATGATCGCAAGGATAACACAGCAGATCATGATCATGATCTTCTTCTGTTCATCCAGATGAGGAAAGAAAAAGCAGGTGAGAAATGACGTCACTGCAGAGAGGGTTTCAGAGGAAGGCAGACAGGGATGGGTCGGCACGGAAGCGGACGTGAAGGGAAAGCAAGATGGATCTGGCTTCTAGAACCCAGGATGCTAAGAGACACATCACCTCTCAGTGAGTGATTCACAGATCTGATCAACAGCAAGCTCGTATTTTCATATTCTGTTCTGCCTTGCAGCTACCATCAAATCAGGTTCACCCCACTCTCCCCCAGAGCCACAGATATTCTCAGTGAGTAAACCAAAGCCTTTTGGGGGGAGTCCCTTGAAATTTAAGATCCAAATACATGGATCTTTACAGTGCGTTCTTTGGGAGTTAAACCATTGTCAAAAATTAGAACTTTCAATCCACCTGCTCTAGCACACGGTTAAAAAATTTTTTCACCCCTTTCCAAAACCTAAACAAAAGTCACCATGTGGGGCAGCCCATCACTCAGTGTTTCACAGGGACCTGGAGCCAGAACCGCTTCACAATCAGTATATAGAGTCATTTATTTTTAAATTAGCAATTAAAATCATCCAGTTTACATTTTTAAAAAAGAACCAAAAAACCCTTCACTTGTTGTATCCAAATGATAAGCCCCAGGCCTCAGTCTCAGGAGAGCACAGGTCTGTGATTGGCGCTCGGCTGCCTGCATTGCTGAAGCCTGGCCAGAGTCAGACATCACAGCCACAGGCGATGGGGGCCCCTCGGCTCCGTCCGAGTGCTGGGCGCTGGCTGAGTGCGTAGCCTTGGCACAGGAAGGCGGGGTGCCCGTGTCAGGCTGGTCCCCTGCCCTAGAAAGCACTACAGTCAAAGCCGAGGTATGAATCGGGAGTCTCGGGGGCTCACACTAGCTCAGCACAGAAACTACGCTTAAAAATGTCCTGGCTGTTGCTTCCTCCATGACAAGTGGGGCCACAAGGAATCTAACCTGGGAGCAGGAAGAACTGCTGAGTGGACCTTGGCTTCCTGAGCTGGCTTAGTCGTGGACACAGGACACCCCCACGGTCACGTGAACGATACCAGACTGCGATGGGATGTTCTCAGGACAAGCCTAGCCCAGGCAGATAGCAGGGAGGGGTGTCGAGCTCGTCCCTCCTTCTGTCTGCTAATGGGGACCGGCCTGGTGCCCACCCCAGCCATCAGGGTTCTCTGAGCGCTCGTGCAGATAACAGCAAGTTTCTCTATGACATGAGGAGATCAAGTTTCATCACGTTTATGATGCAGCTGCAGGTAAGTGAAAGTCTCTTACCTGATTTTTGGCCTAGCTCAAGTTATTCTTTTGAGGTTCGAATATCCTCATTTACAGTTCCCTACTTCCTGAGAGACCCATGCATATATGTACATACATATCACACATACGATTATAAAAATACATCTGGAACACATGAAATGCCTGAATACTCACAGCTGCCCCCGTCTGAAAGCTCCCCAGAGCCTGAGACTCAATCAAGCACCTCAGCCCTGGCTGATTTTACAGGACCGGTTATTCTGGGCCTCCCTGCAGCGGCTTCTTAGCCATCGCTCTAGCAGTAAACAGCCAGCTCCCCAGGCCCAGACGTGGGAACGGTGACCACACAGCCCAGCCTGGACAGACAGCAACCTCAGATGACAGTCTCAGGTGGTGCCTCCCTGAGTCCACATGAGGACAACAGAGACAGAGGTGGAAGTCGGCCACAGAGCTCAGCACACTGAGAGCTTCATTTCAAGGCTGCATTTCAGAGAAGTCAGCTTCCGAGACCACAGCCACCTCTGCCAGCGCCTCCTGCCTTCAGGCAAGGACAATAAGCTGGGATGACTGGGATCCTGCCAGGCTGGAGACTCAGGCCCAAGTCTTATTGTTGCCAAACTTGGAAGAATCCCCTTGTTTTGTTAAAGATAGCCCACTTTTAAAAAAACCCAGCCATTACAATGCTGGGGAGAACTCGTGAGGTAGACAGCACAGTGCCTTGGGGAGGGCTCAGTGAGGCTCTCCACGGCACAGGACGCAGTTTGACGCGTCGAGGGGAGAGAAGCTGGCTTGGTTCCTACAGTCCAGGAGAAGGCGCTTCAGAGCTGGAGGGTAGGAAGGGTGGCGCCGGCTGCATCGGGAGCTGAGGCTCCTCCCAGGCGGGACCGTTGGCCGGGTCGGGTCCAGGGGTGGTTACAGGGAAACAAAGGAACGGGGCTCACTCTCTCAGGAAGGCCATTCACACTCCGCTCCCATCTGAAGACAGGGGTGGTGGCCACACCAGGCTGGGGTGAAACCGGGCTCTACGACAGGCAGGGGGAGGAGATGCTGGTCGGTCAGCACCCAGGGTGACGGTGAAGAGCGACAGTAAGACTTGGCCACACCTGGAAGGCGGAGAGGAGAGAGGAGCTGCACACAGAATCGTGGAAAAGTCAACACGCACCCACCACATCCGACAGGCGTCCCAGAACGGGGCCTGAAGTAAACACCCAGCGTGCAAGAAACCGGACGTCCTGTTCTCATTGAGCCGCTCAGCTGTGTCCCACCCTGTGACCCCACGAACTACTGCCCGCCAGGCTCCTCTGGCCATAGGGTTTCCCAGGGTAGAATACTGGAGTGAGTTGCCATTTCCTTCTCCAGGGGATCTTCCTGACCCAGGGACTGAACCCACATCTCCTGCTTGGCAGGCGGATTCCTCACCACTGAGCCACCTGGGAAGATCCAAAAGCCCTGTTACAAGAGAGAGAGGGGAAATAAAAGGGGAGCCCTGGGCCTCTTACAGCCCTTCCCAGGGGCTGTCAGCTCCGTGGACGGACAGTGGGTGGAGAGGCACCGTCGCTGGAGGAAGACAGCCGTGCTGTGTGCCGGGCCCCCATCAGTTCCTTCCGAATGCAAGCTCAGAGGCTTGCTGGTACTGGAGACTTCTCACCCGCTCTGCGCCCGCCCAGCCTGTCTCAGAAGCAGAAAGGCACAGTGAACAGGACACGGGAAAGTCCAGAGTCCTGTTATGGCCGCTCTACCTTGCAAGCTGAGCAGGCTTTGGGCAAGTTCCTAATTTCCCTGAGCTGCACCGAGCTTCCCTGAAAACGGGGGTGATGCCGTTATCCTAGAGCGCTACTGGGGGCACAAACGTAGGGTGTCTTCAGTTCAGAGGTCTGACCCCTCGGGTCATGCACAGGAGACAAGTCCAGGCCTGCCTGCCAGCCTGTCCGGATGCGGTCAGGGAATAAAAAAGCGACCTATCAAGGGCTCAGCAACTTAGCATCTTAGAAGTTGGTAAGTCGGCTAAAAACAGTGGATTGATCAGCAGCCTCATTTTACAAAATGATCTACACTCTGAATGCCTGGACTTAGGAATGGTGAGGGGCCCTGTGAATTTGGAAGACATCTTTCATCCATGGATATGGAGAGATACTGACTATTATACCTTTTCTTAATATCCTTTCCAAGGGGACTGTTAAGAGAACAAAATTCTACAAACAAAAAAATTTCAAGGACTAGAGTCCACGTACCAGGAGGGGAAAAAAAGCAAATCAATCAATTACTTATGAGAGATCAGCCACCTAATGGATGTATGTCTCAAGAAGTTGACTATTTAGGGTTAAAAATAATAATCTGACTTTGAGACCCTCTAGTCACATGGGAGAAGGAGGAAGGAAGAAAAGGCAAACTGAGGCAAAAAGTGAAGGGTCAGCTCTGGTATCACATCTATGTATCTGTTACCTCAGTAACCCACCTTCTATGAATTTGTAAAAAAGAGAAAAACATTATAAAAGTTAATCATACTGTTAGTCATAGCAAAACAATAATAGCAAACCTCCAACATTGGGAACGTGTTAAATAATTGAGAGTATATTCACAATCTTGTGTTGAACATGAGATTCCCAAAGAGATTTGACTGTTGTGAAATGTTTGTGACCTTGTAACTGGGTACCAACCTGTCGATAACATAGTCTGAATGCTGTAAAACTACATCCGAGTGTGTGAACGTGCCACAAGGTTATCAGCAGTAATACTGAAAGTTAATTCTGTTCACCTTTTCAGTGTTTATTGGTCTTTTTTTAACCATACATGATGCTATGTTTTATTCAGAAAACACTTCAAAGGTCACAGAAGTCTTCACAGCCCAGTAGCCAGATCACTCGTCATGCTGCTGCTGCATACATGGAGCCCTGATCCAGTGGCCAGCTCTACTGTTTCTACCAGACTGTTTACAAATTAATACCCTAAATTTTAAAGTCACCATCCTCTAAGGCTCTCTAGACTTTGCAGACGATGATAAACGGCCACCTTGTTTTACGAAGAGTAGCTCAGACATAGAAAGAATTCCCCTGGGTCCACTATTAGCTGTGTGCTCAAACGTGGCCCTGTTACTTAACTTCTCTAAGCCTGAGCATCTTCATTCATAAAACACTGATGATAACAGCGCCTGTCTCCTGAAGGTGGGGTGAGGAGTCAGCGATGCCTGTACCAGGTGTTGGCACAACTGCACACTCAAAAAACCGTAGCTACCGCATCATTCGAGATACAGCCAGCCAGCCACTAACAAAACCTACAGTCACGAATCCTGATTCAAAGCTCCATTTACAAGGAAAGGAAAGGGAAGGCAAAGCCCAACAGCCCTGAAAGACAGCAAGAACTCAGAGGACACGCCCCAGATCCCAGCTGGAGACCGCGCCCAGCTGAGGAGCAGGCTTGCTTGGGATGGGACGTGAAGATGAGGTGCTCAGGAAACAAAGAACACACGGACACAGGAGCGAGAGCAGGGCCAGACCCCTCGGGGTACAAACCAATGAGAACCCAAGCCCGGCTGCAGCCAGGACCCGAGAGCAGGATGAGACGGAGGTCAGAGGAGGCACAGGGCTGACAGTCTGGAGCACTCAGCGTGTCCGCGGATAGCCGGGGGAGAAGCGGAACCAGGAATCCCAGGCTAGGTTCTCAACAGCGAGCCGGCCCAGAGCCCCAAGAGCCTTCCCTTTACTTACATGTCAGCACGGCCGCCTCCGGGCCCTCACTTCAGCCCAACGGCAAGTCCGATAACCAATGCTAAAATGCCCAGCAACACAACTACTACCACAATGATAATTAGCAATTTCTGGAGAGAGGGATAAGAGAAATAAAAACAAGTCATTATTACAAACCACCAAAAAGCCGCAGTCAGCCATCCAAAACCCACCTCTGCACCAGAAGCATCTTATCGACCCAAATAGAGTGAAATGAAAAGCTGACATCGCTACATAAAGACGTTGCACTGGAATATCTTGTCTCCTAAGTTGCCTCTCCACTGGCAGTGCCAGCAGACGGAAATACAGAGCCTCCATCAGCTCCAGGCTCACACTACAGCCCTCGTGTGGACAGACGCAACCCAACTGTCACAGGGCCTCTAAGCGGCAATACGCCAAGATATAACGTGACTGAGTTCTTCCTTCTCAAGGGGGAGTATGAAGACGTTTCTGACACAGTCCTCCTAAATGCAAACTCCCATCCATCTCTCCCCCAAAGAACACTCCCACCTGTCAAACCCAGGACAGTGACTGAGGGTCTGAAAGTGCAGGTCCTGTTGTGAACAGGACAGGACTCATCATGTGAAATAACTCCCCAGCTCCCTAGACCCCTGCCCAAGCAACAGGTAAAGTTAGAAGGAAAAAGAACTGAAGAATGAAAATATCAGAGCGCAAAGTCAGAAAAGAGCAGGCTAAAAAGCAAACCCCGGCAGAGATGCTCCAAGCAACAAGGGCACCAGAACTAGAGGTGGGAGCGGGCGGTGGGGAAGGATGATGTGATGGAAAGAGCTGGGCTGGACCCTGAATTTGAATCCCAGGTTCCTACGCTTTCTAGGTGGCCAGGGACTTCAGTGATTCTCAACTGTTTGATCTATCAAGTAGAAAACACAGGTGTGTCCTGAGACAGCATTCACGTAGCCATCAGCACATACCTGGGTTCACAGCAGGGAAAAGAGATGAAAGAGGACAGGTGTGGGCTATGAGAGTGGAAGGCAGTGAGGAGGAGCCACGTGTAACATGACGGACCACGAGCTCCGTCCAGCGGACCAACAGCCACGCTGGGCAGTGACAGGTCCACCCCACAGAGCTGCCTGCCAGTGTGGGCTGAGTGGAGACAGTGGGAGCCAGATCCATGCAGGACATGCCGGGGAGGGGACGGGAGCTACTCTCTAGGGAGAGCTGAGGAAGGCTTTTGGAGGAGGCCGGACAAAGGGAAGGTGGGGGGGGGAATCTCTGGGACATGGATGGGGGCGACCAGGGAGAGGAGAAGCCGGCCGGTCCCGCCGAGACGCAGGGCTCACCCTGCGAGCTTCACTCTGATACTTGACCGCCTTTTTGGTGTCTGCCACGGCCCGCTCCACGAAGCCCACGGACTGGTCCATGTTGTTCTCAATACGGTCAATCATGGCGCCCTTTCCCGGGATGCCAGAGGCGGCGGCAGCAGAGACAGAGACGGGGAGAGGGAGGAGACAGCGAGAGAGCTCACACGATGGACCCTGTCCTCCGGGGGCAGCGAGGGGGCTCACCTTCCGGGCCTGACCCTGGTACTTCACGGCTCTTTTGGTCTCCTCCCGAGCTTTCTCCACATGGTCCACCGTGTGCATGACATTCAGCTCTATGTTATCTAACATCTCCCCCTGCGGAGGACAGGCTCTGGTCACGCCCTGGACATGCGCCCCAGGACAGTCCCAGCGCCACGGGGAGTGCCCGGAACCCTGCCCGTGCGGCCTTCCACGGGGCAACCCCGCACACCTCCCCGTGACTGCCTGTGCTTCCCCGGGCCGAGGCGGCGGTCACCCGGCCCCGAGATACCACTCACTCACTTTGTGAGAGACCGCGCCCTGCACGCCAGGAGCACATGATCTAGACGCCTGGAGTATCCTGAAAGGTCCCCCCTCCCCTTTTTTTAAAAAATGAAACGTGTGAGAAGAGAAGCCAGAATACATCTCATGTTGCCAGGAGGCTGGCCTCTTCCTGGTCACTCAGATCTGAACCAAGTTCGTTCAGTCTGAACCGAGTGCCCGCTACTACAGAAAGTGCCTGGCGCACGACGGGTGTTTACTAACAGCTGAGGTGGGGATGGATGCTTTCTCTAATGTATCCCCAGGCCCTGTAAGTAACAAGACATTGGTTTTACCTGAGTTATTGGGTTAAGAGGTCATGGTCTCTTGGTAAGATTCCAGACCTTTCCCCAGCTATTACTTCCTGACAGGAAGTTCGGTCTTTCCAATTGACTTCTGTGCATCTTAAGACGGGAATTCCCTCCACCCACCTAGACCTTCATTCCATGCAACCCCTGGCTTTCTGACAGAGAGAACGGCACTTACCATCACTTGACTCTCAAACCAGTTCCTCGGCAAGGCAGTGTGGGGAAAAAAGACAAGAGTGCGGATGGAGGGACAGGAGGAATGGTCTCCAAGGGCGGAAGGGGATGGAGCAGAGGTACCCCAGCCCGGAGCAGGAAACTGGTGTCAAAACCAGCCAGGCCGTGCTCGGGCTCCGTTAGGATTCCTGCTCCACAGGAAGCAGGTTCGGATCCTTTCCAGGTGGCAGAGCCACTGGGGGCTCATGGTGAGAGTGGCCCCCAGCCGTGACACGTCACTGAATTTAACTGCACCCTAAGAAGCAGGGGCCACGTGACGTGACGGTGACGCCACAGGCAGGGAACAGAGCCGTCCATCCCTGGGCAAGCTGGCCCGGAACAAAGCAGGTGTCAAGCTAAGCACCGTGACGGACTCCAGTTTTCCCACTAATGTTACTTTTGCTGTACCTTCATTGCTTTTGTTGTTCCTCAGCCAAAAAAAAAAAAAAAAGTCAACATTTTTGGAAAAACTCATATAGAAGAAAAAGCAAAAATGGAAAAACATAAAAATCTCCATCACACCTAACTTTTCACCATGATCTGGGGGAAAGACCCTACGTTTGCAGTGTCACCAGTGAAACCAGCTCCTATCAGGAGATTGTTTTAAGGCATCACCATTAAGAACCCTTGTGCTAATAAAAAATAATGATGATGATGATCCCAAGGCCGGAGCGAACAGGTACGTTACAGAACACACCAAACCTCACGTTAATTAGACATGACTTCCAGGCCGGGGTAACGAGGCTACAGCTCTCCTAGCGCCAGCATCCCAGGTGCCCTCCTGCACCGGGACACTGGGATTCTGGGACTCCACTACACCAATTCCCAATGCTGCTCCCTCCACACTCAACCCCCTGGCTTTCTTGGAGCCCACCCCCCCCTGCCCGGCCCTCTTCAGGAAGCCTCAGGCCACGTCCCTGCCCCGCCCCCGCGGTACCCACGGCCTCACCTGGTTCTCCACCAGCATGGCGATGTCCATGAACATGTCGTGGAGCTCCTTGATGCTGCTCTCCAGCCTCACGATGTCCTTGTGCCGGCCCTCGATCTCGCTGAGGGCTTGCTTGGAAATCTGAGAGTCGATGATCTAAGGCAGGCCACAGAGAGATGGACCATCGGCCCCCAGGCCTGCCACAGCCCCCCAGGCACCCTTGCGGGGCTCCCACCCCCCAACCCCACACCATCACTCACCCCCGAGGTGAAGATGGCAGGGTTCCCACTCTCCAGCATCTCCTCCAGCTCCTCGTCGGTGGTCTTTTTGCCGGCTTTATAACAAAAGAAGGAGAGCCTCAGATAGAAGATCAAAGCTCATCATTTCAAAACTTCCCTGAAAACGGCTGTATTCAGGCGCTCGGTAGCGTCCGACTCTTTGCAACCCTGCGGACTGTAGCCCGCCAGGCTTCTGTCCATGGGACTTTCCAGGCAAGAATATTGGAGTGGGTTTCCAGTTCCTCCTCCAGGGGATCTCCCCAACCCAGGGATCGAACCCACACCCCCTGTGTTTCCTGCATTGGCAGACGAGTCTTTACCACTGAACCACCTGGAAATCCCAGGGGAAGTACAGTAAGTTTCACTCTAAAGACTGTGGCCTTTACAAGCCTGCTCGCCTTTCTCGATGTCTCCCCTACCCCAATCCAGCCTCGACCTTATCAGCAATTACCCTCCCGAAGTCCGTGTCTGATTATACTCCTTTCCAGCTCGGAACGTCTCCTGGCCCCTTCACTCCGCCATGGGGTCCACAGGACAAGGAGCCGGTGCTGGGTGAGCCCTCCCTCCCACCGTCTCACCCCCACCCTGTTCCGCCCAAGCGCGCCCTGTTCCCAGGCCCTGGCCGGCCTGCCTTCCCTGCCTGCAACCGTGCTCATTCAGTCCCTGCACTCAGAGCACGTTCCGCCCTGCAGGGCCCTGATTCCTGCCGACTCCTAAAGTTACTTATTCCTAAAGGGCGAGGCTGCATTAACTCCTTTATGCAGACGGGGCAACCTGCACCGTTCGCTGCTGTCAAACAGGTAGCAAAGATGCCATGAGCCCCAGGGAGCAGGGCTGTGTAGCAGGTATTTCCCTCCATGGATGCGGAAATGCTGGTTCCCATAGCAACCAACGACTTGGACCTGGTACCACTGAGCCACCTGCTTTCAGCCTAAGACACGACATCCGGGCAGCAGCAGTGCCATGAGCCCCGTCCTCGGCTGGGGTGCAAAAGGGAAGGCAGAAACCACCCGGAGGCCCCGTCTCCCTGGGCCTGACGACCGGACAGACCAGCGCCTGACAGGTCAGGAGAGGGGCACAGAACACGCTTCAAACACGCACTGATCTCGAGCTGCCGCTGGATCCGCCCTTTGCTGCGCTCACGGAAGTCCACCTGGGCCTCGTTGTACTTGGTCATCACCTCCACAAACTTCCGGGACAGGACAGAGTGCTGCGGGGACAAAGTCAAGGCCATGAGCCCCCTGGAGACAGGGGCGCAGGCTCAGAGCCCCGGCCCCAGCCTCGCCCACGGCAGCTCCGGCGCTGGGGCTGCACGGCCACGGGCAGCTCCTGGTGGGACGGCAGACTGGTGCAGTGCTGGGAAACGGTATGGAGACTTCTCAAAAACCTAAAAACAGAGCTGCCATTTCACCCAGCAAGTCCACTTCTGGGTGTATACACCTATATCTACATAAACTAATTCAAAATGATACACGCACCCCAGTGATCACAAGAGCTAAATTATTTACAACTGCCGGGAGGTGGGATCCCCCCGAGTGTCCACCAACAAAGGACTGGATAAAGAAGACGTGACACACACCTACCTATACATACATGGACAGTGGATACTACCCAGTAATTAAAAACTGGAATCTTGCCGTTTGTGACAACCTAGATTCATCTAGAGGGTATTATGCCAAGTGAAATAAGTCAGAGAAAGACAAATACTGTATAACATCTTCCACCTTATATGTGGAATCTAAGAACTACAACAAACTATGAATCTAACAGAAAGGAAGCAGGCTCACAGATACAGGGAACAGACTGCGGTGACCAGTGGGAAGGTGCAGCGGGGACAGACGGGTGGGGGAGAGGGGGCCACACAGTCCTGGTGTCAGATAGGCTCGAGGATGCATTTTCCAACAGGGGGATACAGCCAAGATGGTGTAATAACTGTAACTGGAAAGCAACCTTTCAAAATTGTAAAAGAAATCAAAAAGAAAAACAAAAGAAAAAACCAAAGACCAGGTACAAGACTCGGTTTTTCTGGCTTCCTGACTTCACACCACTGGGAAAGCCAGCTCACCTTTTCAAAGCACCTTTTCAGTATCTGTTAACCTGTCCTGCTGAACTCACAGAGTAGCTGAGGCCAACGGAGATACTCTGGGAATCCCAGAGGCCCTGCCCGGCTCCCCTCCACATCCAAAGACCCTTGCGTTCTTACTCAAACTGATCGCCCAGCGTTTCCTGCTTCAAATTTTCTTGCTTCTGACTCAATGCATTCCATCAACAGCCCTGGTGCCTAAACGCAAATCATCACTTTTATTCCTTGCCCACGTCTCAGCATCAAGCCCCAACAAACGTTTTTCCTTTGCCAAATCACCAATATCTACACTTGTTTAAACCCACCATCATCAGGCAAATTCAGACCAAAATCATTACAAAAACCCAATGAGACCCACCCACCCCTCGTCTTTTCCCCAGGCTGATCCAGTTTTCAAATGGCCACCAGGTTATCCTAACAGACTGTAACCCAAAGTAAATGCATACCAGCTAGTTGATCAGATCCAAACTCCCGAGACCACTCAAAGTGGTCTAGATATGGCACTGGGTTCTCCAGCAAAAACTGCACGCCCACTATCCTGTGACAAACTTTTGTCTCTAGACAAGAGTGTTCTCTTCATGTCTGCCCCTACCCACCCTACACCACCTGACTCTACACACACCACTCCTGCCCCCAAGGACAACCTCTCCCTGAGCCTGCCCATGTCGGCATCCTGCCCATCCAAGGCCCAGCCTCCTCTGGGCACCTCAGTCTTTCCAGGCTCTTCCGATGCTGGGAGCACAAGGACTGATCCCGTCTTCCTACCCTCTCTCCTGCGGGTCCTATGTCATAGCTTCCTTGTGATACTGGAACATCATGCCTGTTCTTCAGGGAGAAGGATCATATCTTTGATGACCACCAAACAGCCTGACTCCAAGCTGGACAACTGACGACCAACAGTCTGCAGAAAGAAGACTTCGGTTTCCTCTCCTGTAAACCAAGGAGGCCCACTACACCCTCACCCGTGCTCTGGGAACCTCGGGCGCCTCCTGAAAGGACGTGTCCTCTCAGGTCTGTCCCCCACTTCGACCTGGGCAGCTCCCCTCTACCAGTTCTTCACACTGAGTGCCAAATAAGGTTTGGTTGGTTGTTTGTTTTTAAAGATCCACAGCCAGAAAAAAGGACTAACTCTCCTACACTGTTGGTGAGAATGTAAATTGGTGTCACTATGGAGAAGAGGATGGAGGTTCCTTAAAAAACTAAAAATAGAGCTACCATATGATCCAGCAATCCCCCTCCTGGGCACAGATCCAGAAAAGATGAAAACTCTAATTAGAAAAGATACAAGACCCCAGTGTTCACCGCAGCACTCTACAGCACTATTCACAATAGCCAAGAGATGGAAGCAATCTGTGTCCATCAACAGATGACTGGATAAAGAAGATGTGACATGTATATGCAATGGAATAATACTCTGCCATGAAAAAAAAAATGAAATATTGCCATTCACAGCAACGTGGATGTACCTAAAGAGTATCTCACTTAAATGCAGTAAGTCAAAGACAAATGTCATATAACATCACTGGTATTAAGTATGTGGAATCTAAAAACTAATACAAATAAATTTATTTACAAAACAGAGAGACAACAAACTTACAGTTACCAGAGGGGAGGTGGGGGAATAAATTAGGGGTATAGGGTTAACAGACACACACTACTATACATAAAACAGGGTTTACTGTATAGCACAAGGAACTATATTCAATATCTTGAGATAACTTACAATGGAAAAGGATCTGAAAAAGAAATACACATATGCGTGTATGTGTCATAACTGAATCACTTTGCTGTATATCTGAACCTAACACCATATTGTAAATCAATTCTACTTCAATAAATATTTTAAAAAAATAAAAAAGACTCCACAGCTAAGGAAAGAAAAATTAAAAGACTGGAATAGACGGTTGTTAGGCCAAGGAGAATCTCACCTGGGATTTGCGGATCCGAAGGTCTGCCGACGACCGCACCTCGTCCCCCTCGATGTGCTGCTCCATGCCTGGGTGGGAGAGAAGGCTGTTCCAGCAACGCGGCCCCTGCTCTCCGCCAAGAAGCGCCGCGCGATGCAGCCCCGCTCTCACACACGCCGGCCCAGGAGGCCAGCAGCAGGTAGGTCCTGTCTCCAAGGCCGGCTCCCGTCTGGGCCCAGGACACGCGCTCCACGACCTTCGGCCCAGGGTCCCCCTCAGCCACGTCCCAGCGCAGCAGTTACCAGCGCGAGTCTCCCCGTCCCCGAGAGGCCCGGCTCAAATCCCCGCCCTGCCGCCTCCGTGTGCCCCGGGAAGGCCGCGTGCCCTCAGAGCTCCGGTTCTCCATTCTCCGGGCCGTGAGCCGGGAGCGCAGCGGGGCCCCCTCGCAACGCCAAGGAGAAATCAAACGCGAGCGCGCAGCCGCGCTCACTGCCGGACGGAAGCGGCCGCCGCAAACCTCCACCCACCGCCAGGAGAAAGGCAGTGCGGACCCACGCGGGCGAAGAAGTGACAGCTCAGGCTCCGCAACAGCGCCTTCCCTCCCTGACCAGCAGCACGCGCTCATCGCCAGTGAGGGGGGCAAAGTGCAGCTAACAGCCACAGGCCTAGGGAAGCTTCCGGGCTCCCAGGCGGGCCGAGTCTCTGACAGGGCTTCACGGGACACTGGCCTAACTCAGGGGTGGCGGTGGGCGGGACGGGAGGCGCACCTGGTCCCCGGGAGATGCCCGCAGACTTCTAGCACTAACGTCTGTTCCCACGCGCGCAGGTGCTGGGAGACGAAACGGGAGCAGGAAAAGGCGAGGGGCCGCGTTAAGGGACCCTAGCCACCAGACATTCGCCAGCTGGAAGCACACTTCCATTCCCGTCCCCAAGCTTCAATCCTCGCCTCCCTCAGCCACAGGCGAAGTTCTGGGGCTACCCGTCATTCCAGAGACAGAGCCCAGATCACAAGCAGACATGCCATGCGCAGTGTCACCCCCTGAGGAAGTTCTGCTCCAGGAGGGCCGGACCCCAGGCGCGAGATGCTGGGGGCTGCCCCGCGCCTAGTCCGCTTACTCTTCAGCCTGTTCCGGACACTGTTCGCCCTCTTCTTGATCTCGGCAGTGAGCTGCTCCAGGTCGTCCTTGGTTTCTGGGTAAACAAAGGCCAGCAGAATCAGTCAGAAGAGACTGAGGCTTCATCAGCTACAACAATCGCCCGAGGAGGTGCGGCGCTTTCTCAGGCGCCCAGGGCAGTACGTATCCCCGGGGCTCCCCAAGACATCTGTCATTAGCATGCAGGAAGCTTACTGTTTAAAGGCATTTTTCCAGGCACCCTGCCCTCGACCTACAGAATAAAAACACCTCGTGGAAAAAAAGGAGGGACTGGGGAAGCGTTTCAGGCAGAGGAAACAGCACAGGCGCCGGGGGCAGGGACGCGGTATGCCGGCAGCAGTGAGAGTCCCCGCCAGTCACGAGAGGGACTCAGCAAGGAGCGGAAGGCCCGGCCAAGTGGGGCCGTGGAAAGCAGAGGTGATGGGGGCGTCCCTGGGGATCCAGTGGCTAAGACGCCACGTTCCCAATGCAGGGGGCCAGGGTTCGACCCCTGGTCAGGGAACCAGATCCTCCAGGCCCCAGCTAAAGAGTCTGCATGCTGCAGAAACAGCAAAGATCCCGCGTGCTGCAACCAAGAGCTGGCGCAGCCTAATAAATAAATAGATGTTTAAAAAAAAATTTTTTTTTAAGGTGACAGTAGCCGGGCAGTGTGAGCAGGAGAGCGTAGAGGAGGGTGGGCGATGACACGGCACGCACCCCTCCCCTGCTGCTCACAGAAGGACACCGAGGCCCAGCCGGCACTCACTTGGCTCGGGGATGGGCGCAGACAGGATGACACTGTAGAGCCTTTTCGCTTCCTCCACGTGCTCGGAGATCTTGTCAATGTTGACTCGCGTCTCCTCGATCTGTAAGTAGAGAGACCACAGCCTTGGCGTCAGGAGGGAGAACCTGGCCGCGAACAAGAGGAAATGCTCAGCAGAGCTCCCCGCCTGGCGTCGGGGCTCGTGGAAGGAGACGGTGATGCCGGGCAAGCCTTCTGAGGCCGAGCGACCCCAAAGAGAGCACCCCGCCCGCAGTCAGAAAAAGGCGTGCCAACAGCCGTCCGCCAGGCTGCGTCTTCACTGCTCCCAGGGAAGAAGACACCGCCCATCTCGGACGGAGGGTCCCGGCGAGTCAAGAAGAGCCAGGAAAAGCAAGGGAACATCAGAGGGAAGGGTCAGGACACCAGGCAGGTCCTCAGCTGCTCTGGAAGCAGGAACACATGGATGAGGCGGAGAGGCAGGGAGAAAGGAAAGAGGAAAAGTGAAGGGGAGAGAACAAACCTGGAGGGCGAGGAACAGTGAAGAGTGAAGGGAAGAAAAGGAAACGGAGATGAACCGAGGCGATGACCGTCCCGGCCGGGAGCCGCCCGGCGCCCCTGGACCCGCGTTCCGGGAAACGCCTCTCACCCGCTGCCCGCCCCAGACGCCCGGGACCCGCTCCTCTCTGAGGCTCCTGACTGTGCCAGGTGTGTAGGGGAAAGTCCCAGGGGCCTCCCTGGAGGTCCAGCGGTCAGGACTCCCTGCTCCCAGCGTGGGGGGCCTGAGTTCAATCCCTGGTCGGGGAACTAGAACCCACGGGCTGACACCAAGCGTCTCCATGACACAGTTGAAGCTGCTCCCAGACGCTGCGGCTAAGACCCGGTGTAGCCAGATGAACACAAGGAAAGAAAGCACTTGGAGCCATGCCTTATTCCCGCATGGGCTCTGCCACCCACATGTTAAGTTCAGCCTCAGCTCCGTCTGCACAGGCACCAGCTGCCCCGCCCCCAGCCCCTGCGGGGGTGGCTCGCATCAAAGAGCCCTCGAAGCCTCCACGTCCACTGGCCTGCCCTCCACAGCGAGGGGCACGTCAACACGGCCACAGTCAACAAACAGAAACCTCACAAGATGCCACACAGGAGGGTCTTAGCCCCTGAGATGCAATGGAAAGTCAATTCACAATGCAGCTTCCAGCAGCCCCTTCCTCCAGTGAAGAATCCACTTCTTTCAAAAAAGAAAAAGAAAACCTGATCACGGCTCTGCAACTGGCAGAGAAAGCAGGGGAAAGAAATGCGTTCTCTCTTTTTATATTTACTCATATTTCTGGTTGCACTGGGTCTCCGCCGGTGTGTGCAGGCTTCGCACGGCGGTAGCGTCTCTGGCTGTGCAGCACCAGCTCTAGACGCAGGGGCGTTAGCAGTTGTGCACGGGGCTCGAGAGCACAGGCTCAGGAGTCCCGGCGCACGGGTCAGCTGCCCTGCAGCACATGGGGTCTCCCAGACCAGGGGTCAACTGGCGTCCAACCATCTCATCCTCTGTCCTCCCCTTCTCCTCCTGCCCCCAGTCCCTCCCAGCATCAGGGTCTTTTCCAATGAGTCAGCTCTTCACATCAGGTGGCCAAAATATTGGAGTTTCAGCTTCAGCATCAGTCCTTCCAATGAACACCCAGGACTGATCTCCTTTAGGATGGACTGGTTGGATCTCCTTGCAGTCCAAGGGACTCGCAAGGGTCTTCTCCAACACCACAGTTCAAAAGCATCAATTTTTCAGCGCTCAGCTTTCTTCACAGTCCAACTCTCACATCCGTACATGACTAATGGAAAAACCATAGCCTTGACCAGACGGGCCTTTGTTGACAAAGTAATGTCTCTGCTTTTTAATATTCTGTCTAGGTTGGTCATACCTTTTCTTGCAAGGAGCAAGCGTCTTTTAATTTCATGGCTGCAATCACCATCTGCAGTGATTTTGGAGCCCAGAAAAATAAAGTCAGCCACTGTTTCCACTGTCTCCCCATCTATTTGCCATGAAGTGATGGAACTGGATGCCATGATCTTAGTTTTCTGAATGTTGAGTTTGAAGCCAACTTTTTCACTCTCCTCTTTCACTTTCATTTTCACTTTCTCCCATATGGGTGGCATCATCTGCATATCTGAGGTTATTGATATTTCTCCCAGCAATCTTGATTCCAGCTTGTGCTTCATCCAGTTCAGCACAAACAGAACCCTGTGCACCAGGACCCAGGTGAAAGGAGCAGTGACCCTGCAAGAGACTGACCTAGACTTGCCCGTGAGTGTCCAGGAGTCTCCGGTGGAGGCATGGGTCGGCGGTGGCCTGCTGCAGGGTCGGGAGCACTGAGTGTAGCAGCGTGTGCATTGGACCTTTTGAAGGAGGTCATCATTATCCTCATTACCTCCACCATAGTTTGGCCCCAGGGAAACAGCCCCGCCCATCAACAGAAAATTGGATTAAAGATTTACTGAGCAAGGCCCCACCTATCAGAACAAGACCCAGTTTCCCCCCCAGTCTGTCCCATCAGGAAGCTTCCATAAGCCTCTTATCCTTCTCCATCAGAGGGCAGACAAAATGAAAACCACAATCACAGAAAACTAACCAATCTGATCACATGGACCACAGCCTCGTCTAAGTCAATGAAACTATGAGCCACGCCATGTAAGGCCGCGGAAGACGGACAAGACATGGTGGAGAGTTCTGACAAAATGGGCAGAAGGGAAAGGCAAACCACCTCAGCATTCCTGCCTTGAGAACCCCATGAACAGTATGAAAAGGCAGAAAGATAGAACACTGAAAGATGAACTCCCCAGGTTGGGAGGTGCCCAGTATGCTACTGGAGATCAGTGGAGAAATAGCTCCATGAAGAATGAAGAGATGGAGCCAAAGCAAAAACAACACCCAGTTGTGGATGTGACTGGTAATGGAAGTAAAGTCCGATGCTGTAAAAAATAATTTTGCGTAGGATCCTGGAACGTTAGGTCCATGAATCAAGGCAAATTGGAAGGGTCAAACAGGAGATGGCAAGAGTGAACCTCGACATTCTAGGAATCAGTGAACTAAAATGGGCTGGAACGGGTGACTTTAACTCAGATGACCATTATATCTACTACTGTGTGCAGGAATCCCTCAGAAGAAATGGAGTAGCCATCATGGTCAACAAGAGTCCGAAATGCAGTACTTGGATGCAATCTCAGAAATGACAGAATGACCTCTATTCGTTTCCAAAGCAAACCATTCAATATCACGGTAATCCAAGTCTACGCATATATGTGCAATCTAAAAACGGGCATAGAGGCACCTATTTGCAGGGCAGGAGCAGACACACAGGTCGCAGGCACATGCAGTTCACTCCCTTTTGTGCATCTGCCGGATAACCAACGACTGGGAAGGGCAGGGCGAGCAGGAAACCTAAGTGCCGAATCGAAATATCCAAGTGCTGTTTGTGTGTTCAGGTTGTTCTAAAGAGACAGACATTACCCCGCACAATAATGTATTTAAGAACTAAACCCGATTTAACTTACACCTGTCCCAGAGACAAGGCCCTTCCCTGGACGGCTGTGATGGCCCCATTGCTACCCTTTTTATGCATGAGAACACTGCAGCTCAACGTAACTGAGGATGTCAGTCAAGGCCGTAACAGCAGAAAGAGGCAAGACTGAGGTCTGACCCCAGCATCTCTCAGATCCGAACCCCATCTCCCGGACCAGGTGAGGGTGCAAGAACCATGCTCATCTTCTCCCAGGCCCATGTGTGTCCAGCCCGTGTCAGGTGGAGGTGTGGAATCCCCTCACCATTCCATGAGACCGGCTCAGCGACCTCTGACCAACATCACAGGCCTTCTTTTCTCTAGCCAAGGCTCCCTGGAAAGACCTTTTCCCCAAGGAGTGCTCAAGAAATGCTGTTGACCAAGGGAACCGATCCAAACATTTTTCTTTCTTTAATCACCATGCTAAATTTGCAGCTGATACATCCTTAATGTCCACTTATTGTATGTTACTTTCTGAAATGTATTGTTAGGACTTCCCTGGTGGTCCAGTGGTTAAGGATCTGCCTTCCAATGCTGGGGACATGGGTTTGATCCCTGGTTGGGGAACTAAGATCCCACAGGCCACAAGGAAACTCAGCCTGTTGTGCAGCAGGTGCTGAGGGAAGCCTGCACACCAAAACGAAGAGCCCGTGCACCACAGTGAAGGACTCTGCGTGCTGCGACTGAGACCCAGCACAGCCAGACCAAGAAAATAGTCAGTGATGGGTCCCATGGTCACGGCACAAACCCTTCGTCTCCTCACTGAGAGGGGGCATCTGTGTAGTCCTCTCCTGAATCAGGCAGGCTCATGACTGCTTCGGCAACAGCGTACAGTACAAATGATGGGCGGTGTGACTTCCACAGCTGCCGGGCCTGCCTTGGAGCCCTGAGCTGCCTCTACCAAACCAACGACCCTGAGTCCAGTGTGCTGAGAAGCCCAAGCCACAGAAGGAGGTGAAATACAGGTCTCCTCTGAGACACAGTGGTGTCTCCTTCAGGCACCAGACGCCTGAGTTAAAAATCTCTGAGATTCCAGACTCTGGCTAGTCGAGACCCAAGAAACTGTGCAGCAAAAATAACCCACCTCTGGGTGTTCCCTGGTGGTCTGGTGGTTAAGATTCAGTGCTTTCACTGCTGGGGCCCAGGTTCAGTCCCTGCTCAGGGAACCGAGATCCCGTAAGTCACACAGCAGGGCCCAAAAGAAAAAAAACAAAAACCTCCATTGGGCCCTTGTCTGAACCCTGAATTCCTAATCCACAGAATCCATCAGTATTACAGAAAGGTTATTCTACCCCACTAACTGGCAGACTGATTTGTTATATAAGCAGATACAATCAGAACAGACACCATCTCTCAGGCAGGTCCTGTTCTCTCTAAAACGTTGCACTCTCTGCCAGCTGAACAAAAAGACCAAGGAAAATATGCAGACAACTGCAAATTAGACAAAAATCTAAGGTTTATCATTTGCTAGACCCTGGCTTAATCAGCCTGTGAGGCCTCAACACCCAAGGGTCAATTCCTTTCTGTAATAACTGGGAGGCGAGAGAAATCACTGGAGTTTCACAGGGCAAAGTACATTTTGAAAACCTCCTGGTCTTGTGACTGCATCTGTACCTTGCAAATGCCTCTCTGACCATCTGTGACTCACACCGTCAGTCCTTGCAAATTACCAGGGGTGACCTACTTGCTGGAAGCAGTCCAAAAGTCCAAAAGATAAAAGTCTTGTGTACTTTTATCACGAGAGGACATTCACAGGCAATCCACTCTGCTCCATCCTGCAGGAGGTACTGGCTGTGTTCCTCAGACACGTAAAGAGGGAAACCTTTTCACTTCCCCAAACCCCCATTATCTGGGATGCACTTTAATCCACCTTCAAGGATATTTCCAGACCACATTCTCTAAAGCAGACTTTGTGATATATATATATATGTATATATACATATGCATGCATGCTAAGTCGCTTTAGTTGTGTCCGACTCTGTGCGACCCTATGGACAGCAGCCCACCAGGCTCCTCTGTACACAGGATTCTCTAAGCAAGAATACTGAAGTGGGTTGACATTTCCCTCTCCAGTATACATACATATATACATTAACAAATATACTGGGGAACAGAATGGTGAAAAAACTTAAATTTACTGAAGACAAACTTACTGTAGGTCACACACTGTGCAGGTATAATAAAAAAAAACTTTGATTTTTATACAGTCAAAATCAAAGTTATTAAAAAATCAAAATCACTGTGGATGGTGACTGCAGCCATGAAGACACTTGCTCCTTGGAAGGAAAGCTATGACCAACCTAGACAGCATATTAAAAAGCTGAGACATTACTTTGCCAACATAGGTTGGTTTAGTCAAAGCTATGGTTTTTTCAGTAGTCATGTATAGATGTGAGAGTTGGACTACAAAGAAAGCTGAGCACTGAAGAATTGATGCATTTGAACTGCGGTGTTGGAGAAGACTCTTCAGAGTTCCTTGCACTGCAAGGAGATCCAACCAGTCCATCCTAAAGGAGATCAGTCCTGGGTGTTCATTGGGAGGACTGATGCAGAAGCTCTAATAATTTGGCCACCTGATGCAAAGAGCTAACTCATTGGTAAAGACCCTGATGCTGGGAAAGCTTGAAGGCGGGAGGAGAAGGGGATGACAGAGGATGAGATGGTTGGATGGCATCACCGACTCATCAGACATGAGTCTGAGCAAGCTTGGAGAGACAGTGGAGGACAAAAGAGCTGGTGTGCTGCAGTCCTTGGGGTCACAAAGAGTCAGATACGACTTAGTAACTCAACAACAACAACAATACTGCTAGGCCTGTTCTAGAGGAAAGTGGGGTTGAGAGCAGTTACACCACTTTTCAAAAGCTACACCACGGTCATGAGCAGAGTTGCGACGCAGACCAAGACCCATGCACCGGCTCGCTCCTGTCTCTGCCCAGAGACAGAGCCTCCAATACGGACCCTCTCTGCACCCTATTAGATGTGAAAGGAGGAATTTAACCTCTACCACAGTCCCTTGCGCGCACTTTCTGAGTGCTGGCTCCTTTCACCCCCAACTTATCTATCAGGTGAATATTTTTCTCCCCATTTCACAGCTAAACCCACAGAGACTTAGAGAGGTTAAGACTTGTGCCCGATAGAGCATCTAAACAGACATTTCTCCAAAGAAGACAGACAGATGGCCAACTAGGCACACGCAGAGATCCTTAACATCGCTAGTGACCAGAGACATGGAAATCAAAACTACAATGAGATATCATCTCATACCAGCCAGAATGGCTATCACCAAAAAATCCACAAGTAAATGCTGGAAAGGATGTGGAGAGAAGGGAACCCTCCTACACTGCTGGTGGGAATATAAATTGGTAAAGCCACTATGGAAACAGTACGGAAGTTCCTTAAGAAACTAAAAACAGAGCTACGTATGACCCTGCAATCCCACTCCTGGACATACATCCAGAGAAAAATATGATAGGATATTCACATTTATATGAGGAAATATAATGGATTTTCTCAATTCAGAAGGATACATGTACCCCAGTGTTCACAGCAGCACTGCTTACAATAGCCAAGACACAGAAGCAACCTAAACACCCATCAACAGAGGAACGGATAAAAAAGATGTGGTGCATATATGTGGTGGAATATTACTCAGCCATGAAAAAGAACGAAATAATTTGCAGGAACATGGATAGACCTAGAGAGTGTCATACTGAGTGAAGTAAGTTAGACAGAGAAGAAGAAATATCGTATGACATCCCTTATATGTGGAATCTAAAAGGAAATGATACAAATGAATTTACTCACAAAACAGAAAGAGATTCACAGACTTTGACAACGAGCTTATGGTTGCCGGGGGAAGAATGGGGGAAGGGATAGTTGGGGAGTTTGGGATGGTCGTGTATACACTGGTGTACATATTTAAAATGATAACCAACAAGGACCTGCTGTGTGGCACATAAAGGTCCGCTCAGTGTTACGTGGAGGCCTGGGTCAGAGGGGAGTTTGGGGGAGAATGGTTACATGTCTATGTATGGTTGAGTCCCTTTGCTATTCACCCAGAACTATCACAGCATTGTCAATCAGCTCTGAAAGTGAAGTGAAACTTAGCCGTGCCCGACTCTGTGACCCCGTGGACTGCAGCCTCTGTTCACAGAATCTGCAGGCAACCATACTGGAGTGGGTTGCCATTCCCTTCTCCAGGAAATCTTCCCAACCCAGGGATCGAACACAAGTCTCCGGCACTGCTGGCAGATTCTTCACCCTCTGAGACACCAGGGAAGCCCATTAATTAGCTATACCCCAATACAAAATACAATGTTTAAAAAAAAAAAGACACGTGCCCAAGATCACACAATTAGCGGCAGATAAGGAATTAAATCCAAAAGAATCATGCTCTTTCCAGCCAAGCATGCTGTCCCCTTCTCCACCTTAAATATGATGGGGCCTTTCTTTTTTTTTTTTATGATAAAAAAGCATTTAAGAAAGAGAAAGCAAGAAGAAAAGTGGCAGCCCCCCGAGACCTTGTTAAGTCTCCAAAAATAACTGCCTTCCATCTGGCGCCAGATAATGCTTTCCAGATGTAAGATCCTCATGTGACCTCAAGGGATCCTCAGGCCAGGCTTGAAAGTCAGTTCTGCTGTTCCTGATTTCCAGAGCAGGGATTAAAGCCCAGCTGGGTTCAGGAACTTGCCCAAGGTCACCTGCTATTTAAAGGCTTGAGGGAAGACTCAGACCAGGTCGTGGAAGCCAAGGCGCACCCATCTGCCCACCCAAGGAACACTGCCTCTCGGGTCCCCTCCTACTGGGTTAAGAGAAAAGGGAGGACCCCGTTACTGCAGAAAGTCCTGATCTTGGAAAAGAAATCAATGTGACTGGTTCTCTGAGGCAAGGGCAGGGCGATGAGCGGCAGCAACGTCACCCAACTCCTCACGCCCACCCCCAGCACTGAACTGAAAAAGCTTTTCCTTCCAGGGTCCACACCTAGAGCAACACGGGACTCATAAATAACTCAAGCACCGTCTAATCTCATTATGACTCCTCCCGCAAAGGGACGGGCCCACCCACGGCTAACTTCCCAATCAGGCATGCACACGCTCAGGCTCACTCCGAAACCCGCTCTGACCCTCACAGATGAGTGGCAGGGGCCACCGGCCCGATCCACTTAGAGAATGGTGTGGCTCCTCCACACCCACACCCGCCCTGCAGAGAGAGCAGGACACCTCCCCAGATACAGCAGGAAAAGCCTGAACAGAGAGAGCGTAGTGTGCTGGCGGCGCACACTGGACTGGCCGCGGTTTGGTTCGGTCTTGTTGAAACACGTGTATGGCAGGTGCTCCATGAACCTTTCAGAAACATGAACCCGTTTAATCCTCCTAACAGTCCTTTGGGAAATTATATTATCAGTCCCAATGTACAGATAAAGCAAGCAAGCCTGTGAAGGAATGTTCATAAGAATGGCAGCTGTCGGGAACAGAGCTGAGTTTTTTTTGGGGGGGGGGAGTCATTCATTTTTAAAGTCTTTATTGAATTTGTTACAATACTGCTTCTGTTTCATGTTTTGGTTTTTTAGTCATGGGGCATGTCGGATCTTAGGTCCCCACCCCCCCCGCCCCGACAGGAGAGCAAACCCACCTCCACTGCGCTGGAAGGTAAAGTCTTAACCACCGGACTGCCAGGGGGAGTCCCCAGGGCTGAGGCGAACCCAAGCTCTCCATCACTCACGTCTCCCACAGCACCTTCCAGCAGGACCCTCTATCTCAAAGACCATGTGAATCTGTACACACAGGCCACCCATTTCTGCCTCTGCTGAATTTCAAAAAACATAAACTGGCGGTTTCTTGGTTTGTGAGTTATTACCAGAATTAAATCAAAGGGACTGAAGTTTTGGTAACAACAATTCTGATCTATCCCAATTAGAGGCCTAAAAAGACAATGAAATGCATTTTTTCTTTTTCTTACATTCGTGGCTGGGTCCCCTGGGTTAGTTCTCTATCTAAATTCTGTACTGTAGGCAAGACAGGATATCATGAAAATGTTATTATGAGTGGAAGACTTTACCAGCATCTCTTTGATGTATATAGTGCACCTTCTGGTGGGTTCTCAGTAAGATTAGAAGCCCACGTCCTCCCCAGCAATAGGAGGCTCTCCTGGCAGCCTCTCAGTCGGGCCCCCCACCCCAGCAAAATGCTTTCCTCCGCGGCCTCTGAAAGACCTGCGGGCTTTATTCTTGCCTGAGGAAGCTGTGTCTCCTTACGGCCATTCACAAGAAACAGTGGAAGGACACCCACCTCGGAGAAGAACTCGTCCATGAAAGCTGTGTTGTCAACAGCGATCTCGACCTCATCGGCGTCGTCATCCTGCGTCAGCTGCTTCTGCGAGGGACGAAAAGGACGGGTGAGACCAAGACCCCCAGAAACACCAAGAGCGCCGAGCGCGCGCTACGCGGCAGGACTGTACCTGCAGTGCATGTCTCACGCACATGACCTTCGAACCTCAGAAGAGCTCTGTGCTGTAACAACCTCCCATATCCGCTGCGTTTAAACCCTAGCTACCCCCCAAAAATGTATGAATGTGTGTAGCTGAATCACCGCTCTGCAGCGGAAATTAACGCAGCATTGTAATTCAACTACAGGGAGCTCAGCTGGTGAAGGATCCACCTGCAATGCAGGAGACCCCGGTCCGACTCCCGGGTGGGGAAGATCCGCTGGAGGCGGGGTCGGTGCCCACTCCAGTATTCCGGGGCTTCCCCGGTGGCTCAGCTGGGAAAGAATCTGCCCGCAGTGCGAGAGACCCCAGTTCGATTCCTGGGTTGGGAAGATCCCCTAGAGAAGGAACAGGGTACCCACGCTAATATTCTGGTCTGGAGAATGCCATGGACTGTACAGTCCATGGGATCACAAAGAGTTAGACATAACTGCCTTTCAATTAAATAGAGAGAAAAAAAAGAAAAATGCCAATCAATCGACTCCAGATTTCCTCATCTACAAAGGGCTAATCATACCACCACTTAAATCACAGGTTTACAAAATAAATGAGATAAAAAAAAATAAATGAGATGATGAATATAAACACTTTCACACAGTGCCTGGCATATTGTAAGCAGTCAATAAACATTATGGTTTTTTTGGGGGGGTGGTAATGATGGTATTGGTACTGTTATTATACCTTATTCCAGTTGGAGACCCTAAAACAGGTCGAGTAACTTGGCCAAAATCGCACAGCTGACGTGTTGGAGGCAAGCAGACCCCAGCCCACCCTTTGGGTCTGGGTCCCGTGTTTCCAACCTGTTCTCCACGACGTTCAGGTGCATGACCTACCCTACCAGGGACACATACTAGAACAGTCCCGATTCCTCCAAAGCACCAGCTTCAAATCCTCACGGTGGGAGCAAACCTTTTCCTGTTTTCAGCAACTACCTTTGTAAAGGAAGCCACACCACGAGCGCTCCCAGTCCGAGCTGTGTTCACAGGAAACAAGAAGCCCTCCCCGCCGCCTCCCGCACCCCCGGCGACCCCAGCTTTCTGAACCTCATTCAACCACCTCCGCAGGACCATGACGTGGCAGCGAAAGGAAGCGCCCCCATTCCCACCAGCCAAAGGGCCCGAGCGGCTTCTGTGTTCTTCCCAGACGTCCCCCCGGGCTGCTGCGGTGCACACAGCACCCCATCTCCAGGCACAGGGGAGAAGGGGCTGCCGGGGGTGGAGGCGGCGAGGGGGGTGAACCTTGATACCGGCTTCTCCACCCACTTCAGGGGCCTGGGGCCTCCTAAGACAAGACATGCCACTCTCAACACAGGACTCCATGGGGAGGCAAGGCTGCCAGGGCCCCCGTTCCCTCCCCAGCTGCCATCCCAGGAATGGGCTACGGCTGATGGAGTTCCCAGAACTTCCCCTGAATCTGGGGCTCTCCAGCCCTCTGGGGAGCCACCTTTGACTGCCGACCCCCTCATCTCGGGCTTCCCCGAGAGCTCGGTGGGTACAGAATCTGCCTGCAATGAAAGAGACCCGGGTTCAGTCCCTGGATGGGGAAGATCCCCTGGAGGAGGAAACGGAAACCCATTCCAGCATTCCTGCCTGAAAAAACCTGTGAACAGAGGAGCCTGGTGGGCTGCAGTCCCTGGGGTCGCAGAGAGGTGGACATAGGTGCGGACCGAGCGCCCCCACCTCGTTCTCTGGCATGCCTGCAGCCTTCAGCAACCAGAGGGTCACAGCTTCGTGCAAGGACGTGTACATCGAGGACGCCGCTCTCGCCCCACAAGCATCTTCCTGACACTTGGGACTGAGCTCATGAGAGCTCACTTCCCAGGATTAAAACTCCCAAAACCTAGTGGGCCTGCACCCAGGTAGGATGCTTCCTACCTAGAAAATCCCAGGCCCTTTCCTGAAACCAAATTCATTCCTTAAGAGTTCAGTTAAGCACTAGTATTAGGTATTTAGATATTGTTTGATCATGTACTGTCATCTCCTTCAGTATTCTTTAAGATTTTGTGCTCAAGAAAAGGAAAATAAAAAAGGGGGAAATGCCCCCAAAATGGTCTAAGGGGAAAAAAAAATGTCCCAAAGCCTAACAGAGCACATGGGCCCCCTAAGATCTGGCTCCCACTCACATTTCTTTTTTTTAATTGAAGGATAATTGTTTTACAGAATTTTGTTGTTTTCCGTCAAACCTCTACACCAATCAGCCGTAGGTATACATGTCTATCTTCTCCATGATGCGTCCTGGGCCAGGCGCTGGGAACCCCTCTGGGCCAGGCACTGGGAACCCCAACATGTTTCTGGACACACCACGCTTTCATCTCGCTGAACTGTCATCAGAGGACTTCTTCCTGAAATGCATTTGTCCAGCTGGCAAAATTTCATTCAGCCTTTAAAATTCAATCCTGAACAAACTTCTCTGTCTCCCTGATCTGACACTCCCAGTCCCCACCACCTGCAAAATTTAAAACCTCCCTGAGCTCCCAGTGCATCCTGTGCAAACCCCCTTCAGTCCCACCCCGCCCACCATTAATCACCCCTTCCCTACCGATCCTTCCCCACGGACCTGAACTCCCGGAGGGTCAGGGCTGCCTTGGGATTCACCTAGAGAGGACACTTGGAGTGTGTGCCTGCCCAGAGCACCTTCCTTTGGGAAGGTACCTAACCTCCACCTTCCCCACATGATTCTGGGAAAGTTATCAGTCCCCGCGCGGGCTCCCTGAGGATTCTGAATCGTAAAATGAACAGAACCAAATCACCCTCTAGCAACACCCAACAGAGATGCTACCCTCATTGCCGCCTTCCCTAAGCCACTCCTCGGCTCAGAGCAAGCTCTACAGATCTTCCGCAGTCTTCTTTCAACAGCACTCTTGCAATACTGCTTTTCACGTGTTTAGCCAGAAGCTTCTGTCACTTGCAATTAAAATGACTCGTACTTGGGCTTCCCTGGTGGTCCAGTGGTTAAGAGTCTGCGCTCCCAACACAGCGGGCACGCGTTCAGTCCCTGGTCAGAGAAGATCTCGCAGGCCGCATGGCAAGGCCAAAGAGAAAAAAAAAAAATGAAATGAAATGACTTGTGGTTCAGTTCAGTTCAGTTCAGTCGCTCAGTCATGTCTGACTCTTTGCGAACCATGAATCGCAGCACGCCAGGCCTCCCTGTCCATCACCAACTCCCGGAATTTACTCAAACTCATGTCCATCCGGTCGGTGATGCCATCCAGCCATCTCATCCTCTGTTGTCCCCTTCTCCTCCTGCCCCCAGTCCCTCCCAGCATCAGGGTCTTTTCCAATGAGTCAGCTCTTCAATGAGGTGGCCAAAGTACTGGAGTTTCAGCTTCAGCATCAGTCCTTCCAATGAACACCCAGGACTGATCTCCTTTAGGATGGACTGGTTGGATCTCCTTGAAATCCAAGGGACTCTCAAGAGTCTTCTCCAACACCACAGTTCAAAAGCATCTTGTGGTGGTAGTGGTTTAATCGCTAAGCTGTATCCAACTCTTGCAACCCCACAGACTGGCCCACCAGCCTCCTCTGTCCATGGAATTCTCCAGGCAAGGATACTGGAGCTGGCTGCCATTTCCTTGTCCGGGGGATCTGCCCAAACCAGGGATCGAACCCTTGGCTCCTGCGTTGCAGGCAGATTCTTTATGGCTGAGCACCAGGGAAGCCCTGAAATGACTAGTACTTGTCATTAATTAACCTATTCCGAACGTACAGTGGGCACGCACCATATGCTGAAAGGTAAGGAAAGCTGAACCGATTGAGTTTAGTACTCCCACCGAGACCAGCAGCCTGGATCCACCCAGCAGTTTTTAAACCTTGAGATAAAATGCTGCTTTTTTAAGTTGAAAAAACAATTTAATAAAAAAAAATAAGAAAGAATGTATAAGCTTCCAAGATTTGATGATGAGCTCTATGAAGCATCTTGATCAGAGAAATGTGTGTGTGTGTGTGTGTGTGTGTGTTTCTCATTTATTTTTTATTAGTTGGAGGCCAATTACTTTACAATATTGTAGTGGTCCTTGTCAAACACTGACATGAATCAGCCATGGATTTACATGTATTCCCCATCCTGGGGCCCCCCCACCCTCCCTCTCCACCCGATCCCTCTGGGTCTTCCCAGTGCACCAGGCCCAAGCACTTGTCTCATGCATCCAACCTGGGCTGGTGATCTGTTTCACTTTAGATAATATACATGTTTCGATGCTGTTCTCTCAAAACATCCCACCCTCGCCTTCTCCCACAGAGTCGAAAAGTCTGTTCTGTACATCTGTGTCTCTTTTTCTGTTTTGCATATAGGGTTATCGTTACCATCTTTCTAAATTCCATATATATGCGTCAGTATACTGTATTGGTCTTTATCTTTCTGGCTTACTTCACTCTGTATAATGGGCTCCAGTTTCATCCATCTCATGAGAACTGATTCAAATGAATTCTATTTAATGGCTGAGTAATATTCCATTGTGTATATGTACCAGAGCTTCCTTATCCATTCGTCTGCTGATGGGCATCTAGGTTGCTTCCATGTCCTGGCTATTATAAACAGTGCTGCGATGAACATTGGGGTGCACGTGTCTCTTTCAGATCTGGTTTCCTCGCTGTGTATGCCCAGAAGTGGGATTGCTGGGTCATATGGCAGTTCTATTTCCAGCTTTTTAAGAAATCTCCACACTGTTTTCCATAGCGGCTGTACTAGTTTGCATTCCCACCAACAGTGTAAGAGGGTTCCCTTTTCTCCACACCCTCTCCAGCATGTATTGCTTGTAGACTTTTGGATAGCAGCCATCCTGACTGGCGTGTAATGGTACCTCATTGTGGTTTTGATTTGTAAAATGCTGCTTTTACCAACTATCATCAATACCTGGGCCTCTCAGTGGACTCCAAGGGGCTCCATCTCC